CCGTGCCAATAGTAGCTTCACCACCCCGTCATGTCCGTTCTTAGCAGCTCTCACGAGTGGCGTCTGGCAGAATCTATCAGAGCCGTCGGGGTCGACATCTCCCCGTGCTAGTAGTAGTTTCACTACTCCGTTGTAGCCCTTCTCAGCAGCCCACGATAACGGCACCTTGTCATCCCTGTCCCGGTGGTTAGGGTTTACATCTCCCCTTCCTAACAGCAGTCCCACCACCTCCTCATGCCCTTTCTTGGCAGCCCACATGAGAGGTGTATCACCTCCAGAATCTCGTTGGTTGATATCGTAGTCTCCGCCCTCTATCAAAGCACTCACAAGCTCAACATTCCCGAAGAGGCACGCACAGTGCAATGGAGAGAACACGAAAGGTCCATTTATATATCTTGAATAATGAGGATACTGAGCTAGTGCGTCTTCCAAAAGCAATCTAGGAGATATGTGATCGTCATACTGGCCAAAGAGCGTCATCGCGAGTAACTTTGCCCGCTCCGAGAATTCCCTTTTCGCATGTGTTCCCCAATATAGAGAGGAATATCTGAGAAATGGCGCACCTTGGAGGTCTTCGGTAAGTATGGGTGGAAGGTCTTTGATGTGCTGAGAATTTAGATACGTCAGACAGATTTCTGCCATTGTCGAGTGAGCGTCAACAAAGAGGTCGGTGTGAATGGAAAGATATTCTTTGAGGGTGAAATGGATCAAGCGGACATTCGAAGCCTCCTGGTCCACGGCAATGAGTCCCTGACAGCATCCCAGCAATGTCGATATCGGAGGAACATTATCGATGTTGAAGTCCGGTGATCCTATTTCGACTGCGAGGGCATGACATAATTCATCCAGGTTCAACGGCCGCTCCGAATGGCAAACCCACATTAGAGCGGACATCCCGAGCCTTGTCTTCTCACCCCCCAGGGCCTTTATGCGTTCCAAAGTTTCACCGTATGCATCACCAAGCCCCAATCCAGCAGCTATTGTCCCCAGCCTTTGTCTCCTCCGATAGATGGTTGTTTCTCGTAGTATTGCCTCAATATTCAGGGATACCAGCAAGAATCTGGGTGTATATATGTCAGCGGATAGCCCAACAAGGGCTTCAAGGTGTTTCTGCTCCTAGTACATACATTTCCGAGACACTTCTAGGAATCTTTTCCATAATATCGGCCTCCAGACGCTCGTCCATCGCGTCAGGATTCGTGTCCTCATCTAGCCTGGCGCGGATATATCTGATAATATCACCTCCTTTGGGGCTTATATATAGAATCACCGCCCTTCCAGCAAGCCCTTTTTCAATCTCAGCCCGAATATGCGCCCTCCCTGTCAGGAATAATCGAGTGCGTGGGGACCTCAGGAGAATCTGGTTTAGTGAACGAAGGACCTTCAAACGATGTACCGCCACACATTCGTCTAGAGCGTCAATGCAAATGAATGTACGCTGTGAGGACGATATTGTCCCTAGCATCTCCACAATATTGGAAAGTCGCAAACCCCGCCCACCAATCACCTTTTTCTGATCCTTAAAAGCTTGGACTATCTTTTGTGGAAGATGTTCCCATCCACTAACCACCTGTTTCAGCAGCGAGCCCAGCATGCTCGTCGGTGACTGCTCCTTCTGAGCGGCGTAGTCAAAATAGAAACATGCGACAGCGGTATCTCTCCCACTAGCCTGATCACATAAGGTATCTACCACTAAGGAACTACCATCTCTGTTTGTTAGCGATACCATCCTTTATTGGTTTTTATCAAAGATCATCACATCTCTGTTACCTAATATAAGTCTTGCCTGCTCCTGGATCCCCATAGCAAAATAACGTCGCGTTGCTAGATCCGTCTTCCCCATCGCCATCACACCAGCTTCTAAATTCGTCGGTTGCAAGAAGCCAGTCCCCCACATCTTCCACCCGGTTATTCCTAATGTCCTGGTGTCGTACAGTGGGCTCCAGGGGGGATATCCAGGCCAGTACTTCAGACCTCTCATCGACAACATTAAAGTGGTTCGACACATTGTAATAGTTGACAGTATTAAATGAGTTGGTGTTGTTACTGATATACTGGTATTGAGACATTCTCTGTTTTCACCAGTTGGAGTTCCGTGGAAGGCAGATCAGAGGTATTGGTTTAGGATCGACTGAAGGGATTCCGAGGAACCGAAGGAAAGCGGGGGCAATTTTACAGCCTCGTCGCCGCCTAACATCGGTCCAATCAATTCACTCGAAACCTGTGTAACCGAAATTTGTATCATAGCCGCTTCCCACTGTGGTGACTCAGCACGGTCTTCTGTGTACTTCGTTTGGAACCTCTAGGAGGCAGCGGGATTAAGCACAGGCCATTTCGTAGGCGAACTTTCACCCTGCGATGCTATAATAGTCACGAGCCGGCTCCTAGAGATGATATGTATGGGTACTCGAACACCGGCACTCAGAGGGATCGAGTCCCGTACCACCACCAATCATTGGTCATCACTCGCTTTTCAGCTTGGATGAATTGTTGAAAATATCCGCACTAGGATTAACTTATACGCGCTGAGGCGCTCTGGCACTGAGGAATTCTCCCTTCGCACGTACCATACTTCCTTCGCCACATTCCCTATTCCCCCTTCCCTCCCCACATTTCCATCACTCCTAAATCTACACTCCGCATATCGCACATCTCAGATTCAATCACTCGCTAACGTCGCTCCTCAAATCACTTCACTCCGCGAAACCCTTGTTTCAAATATCTCCTCAGATTTCAACACGAATCCTCGCTGCAGGCGCAGTCCAGGGTAAAAGCGAGCCGGGAAAGTGGGTGTCCTGAGAGTATACAGCACGGGAAAAGCTGCATTTCAAGCGGCCAGGCCATAGAACACCACCGATAGTTGATTCCCAAACCAATGCGCTTCATGTTATTCGGCCCAAAATGCCGCAAACTTATAGAGTATCTACCTGCTCTTGTGGGACTCGAAAACACTATTGGGTGTGCTAGGAGGGTTATCGAGCATGTGTTGGGGATGCTGTGGAAATATCAAACACCCGTGCCGCAACACATATCCCAAAACCTCTCTTCGCAGCTGAAAATACGGTACTAGTGCACCGTTCGCCGTGCGGTTAGTAAGAATATTTAGCGATATAGCTTGTATCTGGACCGGGTGTAGGGGGTGTCTTTTTATTTTTTTATTTTTATTTTTGATAAACAAGAATATTATGCTAGGATATGGCACAAGATACAGGCGGGGCTTGAGTCAATTACACTCTACCAGAAGAACGAAGAAATGAATGGCCAGTCATTTCTTGTTTTGAAAATAGAACTAGAACATAATATCGCACACAGGTGTTCATTTTGTTGTAGTGTCGTACTGGCAGAGCTTCGGACTGGGGATTGCTTTCCTTCTGTGGGATCAAACTACGGAGAGTGCAACTTCAGATCTTTTCCCTCTTACAGCCCGGGTTTTTAAAACAAATGACCTTTTTCAGACTACATGGAAGGCGTGTAGTAGTTTGCGGAGATTATGAATTGTCGTTAAATTTTGAACATCAAATACTGGTAAAAACAGACTAATAAAAGTATGGTAAGGTAACAAAGGAAAGACATACAAATCTAGGGGACGCCCTCGGGAACGCCGCGGGGCGGGGGAGTGGAAAATAGAACCATCAGGCCCTATTGGGTGTTACCATCCTCCAACAAAACCCCACATGATTATGGTGTTATAATCCCCCTAGTAGAGTGTTGTCATGTTGAGAGTGCAGATATATCAGAGAACAGGAGCATAAGTGTGTGTGGAGACAGGTACAGGAAAGGTATCAGTGGAGGTATACATGTGTATGATCACCGAGGGCCCGGCTGCAGATGAGTGTGAGAGTTCACCCTCTTGTGGCGTCCTCCACCTATGTATTAGATAGTTAGCCACCTTCTCTCCACCGCCGATCCAACCAACAAACTGTGCAGGCCCACCACCGCCATCACATGAGATTTCCCTTCAGTGCCGAGTTAGTTCCGGCTCTCTCATACACTCATTACTGAGCAATTGTTCCCCATCCTTGGCCATAATTATTGAGAATACCATAACCCCACTACAGCCGGAGTAACTAGACTAGTTAGTAGTCACACATATAAGCTGCGAGTGACAAGTACCGCAACAATAATTCAGAAGAATACAATACAGCACAATACAGCACATAGGAGAGTTCGTGAAATGCCAAAGGCGACTGAGAAGATAAGACGGGGAAGAAAAAGGCGGGGTGAAAGGGATGACAGTGAGAAGGGTAAGGTATATGTTATACCGCGACCACAAAAGCGGCTCATAGACGTGCTAAAAGACTTCCAGAGAGGTAATGCCTCCCGGGCTCTAAAGCGTGAGGAGGTTTGAAGCTTTACGGGCCCGTAGAAGCCTTACTACTCGACGACGTCCATATCTGCCAGCCCACGACCGTGGTTTTTCATCGTAGTATCCGTCTCGTCTGTGAGGATTGAGGTCTTTCCGTGCTAGTAGAAGCTTCACCACTCCTTCATGCCGTTTTCGGCAGCCCTCGGCAGTGGCGTACGATTGGAGTTGTCTGGTCTATCAGAATTAATGCCTTCTCGGGAGAGTAACCTCACTACCCCCTCATCCCCACTCCTGGCAGCTATCGAGAGCGTTGTTTGTCCATACTAGGTGTCTGGTCTCTTATGGTTGACATTTTCTCGTGCTAAAGAATCTTCATGTCGAATTGGACTATTTAGGAAAATCAGTTGGATTTTCTGGGGTTATAGCGGTGAGTAGGCGCCTATTGAAAATAGACGTCTTATGGGATAAACCGGTTTATCAGTTTTTTATCACCAAGCTCGTACCGGTAACTTGCAACCACGAGTATGAAAGCTAGTTCAATTGGAATGGGGACCAACAAATAGCCTCATCATCCACCTTTACAAGAACTAGCATAAAAAGCTCCACCGACGACTTGAGTGGAGAGAAAAAAAACCAATCCACCAAACCGGAATTATAAATACAAACATGTTATCAGTGAATTCATCACCCAGCCTCAAATCTCAAAGATATCCCCCTCGTCCAACCGCCTCCTCTCCGCCTCCGATATCTTGCTCAAATCGAAGTGACTCCCACCGATACTAGCCCCCCTATTTTTCTTTTTATATGCCTTCAACTGTAATTCCGAACAAATTAGCAAGCACACACTCCAAACTCTAGCCTCAAGAGAGGTAACAAACCTGGGCGCCAAAGTCCAACTTCTTGGTCCCATCACTCTTCTCCTTGATAGGTCCATTACAATCCCTAAGTTGTATACCTCTAGCTTCCGCCATTCTTTCAATCTCCTGAGACCAGAAATCCATACTCTCGGCGTCGCCCATCCAGCAACCGGCGGCAGAAATCGCCAGCCCCATTACTAGGCCCAGATTTTTAAGTGGAGTCTTGTCTGGCGGGGCAAGCCAGCGGCCAATGGGAGTTTCCTTATCCAGCTCGCGAAAACAGTCTATGAAGAGGGTTCCCATAAGGCAGATTAGTTCCTCGACACGGTCGCCATCGTCGACATCTAGCTTGTTAGCTGGGTTCAGAGAAAGGTTAGATTAGAGGGACATACTCATCCACCGCCCGTCATAGGAACTATCCAGGAAAAATGCCAAAGCTTCGACGATGGCGTAGAGCTTCAGTTCGAAATGTGACTTTTTCTTCTCTTTCTCGTATTGAAGTATCTGCCACTTCGTTAGAAAATCGTCTCTGCGTATCAGGGTTCAATACGCCCAATGCATCATCGTACCTGTTTTTCCAACACCTCGATGATTCCATACCCGGCATAATCCTCGTAGATATGTGCTATCCCATTGCTCTCGGGCGTCCGCTTTTCAACCTCGATATACATCTTGATGAGGTTATCATAGCCGTCTTTGGAAATTTTAAGCTCGCTACCATTGTAATCCTTCTTCTCCTTGCGCAGATGTCGAACCTCGACATCAGGCTCTTGGTTCGGATCTTGAAGTTCTATGTATTCAACAAATGACAACTGGATGGCTTCGTTAATAATACGCGCAAACTCTTCTGCGGATGGGTTTGCAAACCGGGTTCTCGACATATTTGGACGGCCCGCCGATGACTGGGGGCGACTTTTCCACTGTTTTGGTTCTTTTGTTAGATCTCGAGCCCGAAATTGTTTTCGTGGGTGAGGTACGCTTCTTAGGAGGCATTTTTGCGTAATTTTTGTTCCTCCGAGTCGGGTAGTTGTTGACAGGATAGCGTGCGGGTAAGGTGAGTTAAGGTTGGATTTGCGAGCTCAGGGAGCTTCCACGGTTGAAATACTAATAATGCACCGTGGGTAGGTGGTGTGATGTCACCGGTGGTCGGGTTAGGGTTTGGAGGAACCAATCATAAGGGTCGCTTGGATCGGTAACTCAGACATATCATACATAAGAATGAATATCACGGTAAGGATGGACCCGCTTAGGAAATGAGAAGTTACTGTACGAGTACCGGCACCTCCGTAATGACACTTCTAACCATCCCGGTTTTTGGGACAATTTTCCTGGCCAGGCCACAAGCATCGTAATTTACCACATTGGTCCCAACGAGTACGAGGACAGTACTAGCCGATTTCAAAAGTATTCGGACACCTTGGCATCCCTGTTGCCTGTCTGGGCGCCAAAGTGTCCGAATACTTTTAAAATCGGCTAGGACCGCCACACGTACCCAATACGAGTACTAGTACGGTACTAGGGGACAAGCGGGGATACAATTACTCGTAGAGGGCCAGTGCAAAATTCCTTCGTTCGCACTAGCGTTCAGACAGCAAGGATTCCTGAATTGAAGATCAATCAATGCCAGCCAAAAAGTATGATATCCGGAAATTTTAGAGGCGCTTCCCCCCTGCGGTTTGGACCACATTTTCTTGTCAACAATTTCCGGAGAAAAAATGATCTGCCTCTGAGCCCCTCCCTAAATGAAGATAGATACCGGTAATACCGGTAGTAGTCACCCGTACTAAGTCTCATAGCTCAGGCTCTCATTGGCTTTTGAGCAAACAATCTTGTATCAACACTTGCAGGGATGGATCTGAAGCCCCTTCCCTTTTAGTAATCAGTAGTCTATCGGAAGTTCTCAACGAAAAGTGTTGTTTACTGTAAGGGCGGGGTCGAATGGCTCTGGGACAACCCATTCTCTTGCCTCGTGGGCTGGTATGGGCGTTCAGATACGGTACGCACGGCTTTTTTTTTGCCATTTATTTTGCGAACACCTCGTTTTCGGAGACTGCTTGCTTGGGAAATGGGGACAGGGGGCCCGACACCCGGCTGAATCTCTCGGTTTTTCCCCTCTGTTGCTGCACGAATTCAGAACCTTTCCCCCAGCTGGACCTGAACTTAAGGTCACAGCGCAGACGGGGATAACGCGGGCAGCAGCGCTGAGGGCACCAGAGGGATATACCGTACCGGTACTCGAGTACTTGTATCCTGAATTAAACCTTTTTGCTGCTGCAATTCAATGGTCACGACACTGCATGTTCCCCTGGATTCTCTTCATGACTCCAAAGGGGGGGTTCATAAACGCCAATGCCTTCATTGATTTTCATCACCACTCGTAAACCCCCCCTTTTACTGCAGTTCCAACACTGGGGACGAGTTTAGTACGATACGGTATGTACGAGTAGTGCGTAATAAATATGGCGCTCGTAACGATAAAACTACCGTACCATACCGGCACAGTAGACCTCCATTCTTACAGGTAGTGCAAGATGGAAGAAGCCCGTTCGTTACTCCGGCACTTGATCTAATTGATCTGCTACAAGTACAGCGCTACTTGTACAGTACCCGTATACTAAAGCCCAAAACACCACAGCGTCTACTCGTACCCCCTCCTAGCCGTTTCGACCCCACCAAGAGAAACAACAAGCGCACCTATCTAATCAGAAAGGTGGGAAATCTCGCGAACCAGCCATCAACAATTCGCCCTACAGCTTGCCGTCCCAGAATTGGATAACTGCCCATTTTCCAGTCCAGGCCCACTTTCTCTTTCTTTCCTCGGAGTCCCCACTCCTGAGCTCTGCGTCCACCTCGTCGTCTAATCCCACCACCACGTCCGCCTTGCAGGTCCTCAACGCCAATACCCTCACCCCACTCCCCAGCCTTCCCAGTTCACCAATCGCCTTCGAGAAGCTGGTAGTAGGGTTCCAGGCCGCATCAGCTGTTAGTTTACGATAATTGAGGTCGCCTTTGAATATAACCAATTCCGACTGCTTAAGGTCTTGGAAGAGTTGCGGCGCAACGCTCGGAAGTCTCCAGTAAGAGGCGGCCGTTGTCCAGAACCGATTCGGACGCAAAAGAAATTTCCCCTCTGTGTGTAGCTCACTCCACTCAGAGAAGAGATATTTAAGGTCGGATTCCTGAGAATCAGAGAGCGGAGTTTCCTGCACCTTGTCGGCAGAGCGTCCATCTCTTGGCGAATCAAAGTATGACGCAGGATCGCGCAGGGCGTTAATCAAACTCATAAAGTCGCCCGGCAATACGTCGCTCACAAACCAAGGCAGACTCTTGGGATGAAAGATAATCTCAGTGGCGAATCCCGCAGCCAAAAGATATCCGCCAAGAATAAAGTCCACAAATAACTCGAACCCAGAATTGTCCAAAACGATATCAATTCTGCCGACTTTTCCCTCGTCTCTTTGTTTTTTGAGAAGGTCATACACCTTGTCCGCGTGGTTTACCAGAATATACTTTCGGGCCTCTTCGCGCGCATTGTGCTCTTGCAGCTGCTGAATATCTGCGTATGTGAGAGAGGTAAGAAGGCTAAGATCCGTAGCATTGCCCCAAAGACATATCTCGCACATATCGGTGAAAAGTTTCTTCTCTCTTTCTTCTCTCGCCCCATCAGTAGTATCTGCGGGATCCCCAGAGTTTTCGAGAGAAGAGATGATTTGCCGGTATTTTGAAGCCAACTCAATAACTGCTGCTCGGGAAGATCTGAAAGCAGCTGCCTTCCGAACATGGAATACATCGTGCGTTTTCCAAGTTTCGCTGTTGGTAAAGAAAGTGTTCAACCGGCGGTACAGGTAACATTCTGCAAATAGCCAAGGCGCATCGAACCACTTGGGATTTCCCAACTTATCCAGCTCTTCATTGTAACCCCTGATATCATCCCCCCCGTCATCTTCCAAGGGTCTATATCAATTCAGTACACCGAGACGGAACTGGGGGGATCAAGGGAACCTACGTTATAAGTCGATTGTGCTGCAACTCGAACTTAAGCTGTGCGATCTTCGCGATAATCTTACCTCCCTCCGGTCCGTGATTACTATCTTCGGAATCCACCCTGTGCTTGTATACATCGTCGACTGCTTGGGTCTACGCTCCAGTGTTAGCCCCTGATGGACGAACATGGTTTACCACACACCAATATCACGGGCCATCGGTCGCGTGCAGAAACATAAGCAAAAGAGTTCTTATCTGATGTCCTGTACGGTTCTGTTTTCAGGTCAGTTTTGAGAAACAAAACTCGGGGCAACCGTTATGGGAGTTTGGGTACTTTACCTTCAGTGAGTCCGGGATCCATAACCACGATCTGGGGAGGACAAAAGATTGAGTGAATTAAGCTTGCCCGAAACTCGAGTCTGAGGTTGCTGGATGGTCCCTGCACGGGAAAGGCGCCTAATTCGGTCCTGAATTGAGGGTTGAAACTCTGATGGGATGTCCTGACTCCTGAGTACCCAGATCGTGATGAGGGGAAAATTATTAGATTCCCCCCACCATGAAATAGGGGCTTGGCCGGGCTTTCGCCAAGACATAGAGCCATGTACGCACTCGAGTACGACACGACATATACTCCTGAAATCCAGTGTGTTCTAGATCTCCGTAATACGGATACCTCTCTGTCCCTTATAAAATGCTTTAAATTCAAAAATTTTCCATAGCCAGATTTGGCTCGCTGATAGCCCGTTGTATCGGATAGGTTCTTTAGGTTTTGGCCGTCCGGGATAGCGGGGTGTGAGTGTCCAATTTTTGACACTCAAGGTCCAAATCTGGTGGCGAAAATCTCTCTTTCCATATTACCCAAGCCATTATTATGGCCCTTCACTCCCACAGCAGAACACTAGTTTTCTTGGCATCCACTCAAGCTTGCCCGTTTTTCTCGGCCTCGATGAGTCAGCTAGCATAGTTTCACAAAAACTCTAAGCCGCCTAAACCTCATTGAACACAGCACAGCTTCATCCACCAACTTCTCGTCGCCCCAACTTTTTCTCTCAATCACAACCTACAACATTCGCCACCCGTCTACCCTACCCGCTTATCAAAATCTTAAACAAGCCTCAAGCCTCAAATACCTTTGCCGATCGCCTCCCTACCCCCCATTGCCGCCATTCGAGGGCCCCTTACGAGTAAAGACTTCTTAACCGACACTTCCCCGAATCGCTCGCGATGGCTAGCTCATTAGCCTTTCCGAATGGCCACGGAACCATAGGATTATCACCTCGCGCGCGCTTCTCCGACATTCCGCGAAGTATTGACATTCCAGTGTCCGCTGGAGACGAAGAGGAGGATGATGAGAACGCCCTCGTGGAAGTTGACCCCGATATGCTTCCCGATGATCCGACGGAGCTGTGTACTCTTCTTGAGAACGAAAGATCCCCTAAACAGTATTGGATGTATATCGCTCTCGCATATGCGAAACACGACAAAGTTGATTTTGCGATTGAAATAATTGCTAAAGGATTACAAGCCAAAACCCACGAACCAATGCCTGAGAGACTGCCAATGCTACATCTCCTGACATGGCTATATCTAGAGCGCAGCCGCGAAGCTGCGAAAAACGTGGCTGGTATGAATATGTCCCAATACCTCCTCGAAACCATGCTAAATCCGCAGCCCTATTCAGAAGGGTCTGCTCTGATCTCTGAAGCAAAGACGAAGGATCACTATCTTCAGCTTGCGACCCAAATACTCAATGAATCCTCACGCTTGGACCCCGCTTCAATATTGGTCACTCTTGCCCGTGGCGTATACTCCATATTCAAGGCGTCTGTTGGTACGGCAGATAAAAACACTCATATGGACAATGCGGCAAAAATATTTGATGACGCCGTTCGCACCTCGCGGGCGACAAACATGCTTGCAATTATGGGAAGAGCGAGAGTTTTGTACGGGAAAGGGAGATATGAGAAGGCGCTCGAATCGTATCAGGAGGTATTGACCAAGAGGCCAGATATGGATCCCGATCCGAGAATAGGAATCGGATTGTGCTGTTGGCACTTGGGGCACAAAGACGACGCCTTGGTGGCATGGGAGCGTGCGCTGGAGTTGGACCCCAATTCGAAATATGCTCATATCCTGAAGGCGTTATACCATCTTCATGTCACCTCAAATTTGTCGGAATTCGACCCCGAATTCATCAACAACTACCGTTTGGTGATTGAGCATACCCAGAAGGCATTTAAACTCGACAAGCAGTTCCCACTAGCGTGCACAACATTTGCTAGTCATTTCTTTATCAAGAGAGGATATTCGCAGTGTGAGCTTCTAGCTAAGAAAGCTATCGAGTATAGTGATGTTGCAGCTGTTACGGCTGACGGATGGTTTTCGCTCGCAAGGAAGGCGCATGTCGAGGGAGAATATGAGAAGGCATTAGGACATTACAAGAGGAGCGACGCATTACGGGAAGGATACCTGCCGGCAAAGCTTGGGATTGGGCAAGTCCAGATTCTGATGAAAGGTGCCTCTTAATTCTCATGACCTCCGAATATCCTCACTAACCAATTTTCAAAGACCTCGGCGCAGCGAAGTACACCTTCGAGGCTATTGTTCAAGCAAATCCAAAGTGCATCGAGGCAAGATCGATACTGGGGACTCTCTATGCAGATGAGGTTCTCTCTGCTATCCCACGAACCGGCTTTTCTGCTTCAAAAGAAGATGTCACAGTGCTACACAGAAAGGCTATCAGTCTTCTTGAGAATGTTCGATTCACGTGGAAGGCAGAGGCTAAAAAGAATGACGCCCACCACGAAACCATCCTTCTGTCTTTAGCACGGCTTTACGAAAACGACCAACCCGAACGAGCACTCCAATGCTTACTGCAAGTCGAAGAGATATATAAATACCTGATAGATAATGGAGATGACGTTATGATGCCTGTTCAGTTAACAAACAACATTGCAACCCTCTACTGGCAAAAGGGCGAATTCAACACGGCTCGAACGTATTATCAAGGCGCTCTGAACGCAATTCCGGAGTTGAAAGAAAAAGATGAGGCCGCCGATACTGATGCTCTAGCCACCACCCTGACCTACAATCTAGCCCGATGCGAAGAAGCCGCCGGCAACATCGAGGAGGCAACCAAGAACTACGAGAAGCTCTTGGCCTACCACGATGACTATGTCGATGCGAATATGCGGTTGGCTTATTTGGCCCTTCGACGCGGTGCAGAGGACGGCCATAAGAGGATCCAGAAGCTAATGCAGACAGACGGAAACAATCTTGAGGTCCGAGCGCTATATGGTTGGTATCTTGGGCGCCAAAAACGCAAGCACCCGATCATTATCTCAGAAGATCCAGAGCAGAGGCATTACAAGCATACTCTTCAGAACTACGAAAAACACGATCGTTACTCCCTCATTGGAATGGGCAATATCTACCTTCTTGCTGCTCGAGATATCAAAAAAGAAAATGAGCAGGAGAGGGAGAAGCGGAGAAAGCTTTACGAGAAGGCAGTCGAGTTCTTTGATAAGGCTTTGCAATTGGATCCAAAAAACGCATACGCAGCCCAAGGGATAGCAATTGCTTCTGTGGAAGATCGGAAGGATCTCAAAACCGCCGTGAGTATGTTCTCCAAAGTCAAAGAGACGCTCTCGAAAGATGCGCACTCTCTAGTCAACTTCGGACACTGTCTTGCTGGACTGGATCAATGGGCCAGAGCAATCGAGAACGTAAGTCCCCCTCTTTCTCTTTACCAACCCAGTTACACAATTGCTTGCTTTCACGGGGGCCTTTCCTATCTCTTAGTTCATCCACTATCATTTACATCCGTAATTACTTATCTTTTTTTTCGCTTTTCCCCATTTGCTTTTCCCTTCGCCATTATACCCTAGTCGTCGGCAGGCACCGATACTCATTGAACGCTCCCCTTCCAGACGTTACCTTTCGCTCCTTTTTGATTATTTCCTTATCCCCGCTGTTTCGGACAGTTTATCTGTTTGCCTATCCTATCAACGCCCTGTCGCTATCAACCCTTACCCCATATCTTTTGTTTTTCTTGTTTATGCACTCATCCATTTACCACCTTAATGCCCCTTGCTTATCCTGTGCTTAACCGCCCCTCTTTCCTACCCCTACGGCCCACTCACTGGGGCCCCCAATATCGTCAATGGGGACCTCTCATATGGCTAACTTGGCCCTCAATTCACTGTAGTACGAGTCGGCTCTTACAAAGTTCCAACTAGGCAAAGATCCAACAACATTGACATGTCTCGGGAAAGCATACTTCTCCAAGGGTCGGAAGGAGCGAACGACCGAGCCCGAGAAGTCAATGGAGAGCTTTAAGAACGCTCTTGATTACGCAAAGCGAGTAAGCCACATTAATCATCCCCAACCAGCAGTTAGCCAAGCATAGTTAGACGAATTAACCCTTCCATAATAGGCTCTAGCGATTGCACCGGATAACGTGATGTACATGTTCAATGTAGCATATGTACAATTCCAGATTGTTCAATTCATCATGAGCCTCCCGGAAACTTCACGCAGCCTTGAAGATCTTGAGGCTGCTTCCAAAGGCCTTGAGGGGGGAATACAGTGAGTTTAACCTTGTATATGTGCTTTCTTTCTTCTTTTTTGCTCTGCTTTTCTATCTCTCCCTTCTCTCCCCCCCGTCCCCCGCACCGACTGCACCGGAACAGGCAGGCCCCGGACGGCCACAGCCGCTTGATCCCTGGGTGAACGTTATGCGTTGAGCCCTCTCACTTTTGCACTTTCTCGGGACTAATATGATTTTCCACAGATCTTTCTCAGATATAGCACGGTCCAACAACCCCCCATACCCATCCTCAGAAATTGAGGCACGGTCCACCATGGGCAAGAATACCTTCCGCAAGCAAATGGAAAGAGCAATCCAGAAGCAACGTGAGTACGAGGAAAAGAACCAAGCTAAACTGGCCGAAGCAAGGCGTAAGCGCGAGGAAGACCTTCGACGCAAAAGGGAAGCCAAGGAAGCGGAGGAGCGAGAGGTCGAGAAGCGCAACAAAGCGATAGCAGATCAGCGCAAGAAGATGCAAGAGGAAGCAAGAGAATTCGCGGAGAGGAAGGCGGCAGAGGAACGTATCCGCGAAGAGAACTCTGATGGCGAGAAGAAACGGAAAAGACCATCAACTTCTGGATCAAAGTCCAGATCCACGCGCAAACGTGGTGGCAAGAAGGACGGAACAATAGACTCTGACTCTGCTTCTGAGCCTTCCCGTCGCAGGAGCAAGTCGAAGTCTGCCATCACAGATGACGATGAGCAGAAGCCAGCCAGAAAGCGCAAAAAGCTAACGCGCAGAGCATCCCCAACTAATAAGGGCAAGTTCAAGTCCTCGGAGGTGGTCAACTCCAGCGACGACGAGGACGACGACGATATCCTCGCCCCACCTCCCGCCCCCCCACCCGAGGTTCCCGAGGAAGGGGGTAAGAAGCGCAAGCGCAAGCCCGCCAGGGCCATTGATAGCGGGGATGACGAGGATTTGGAGGACACAAACGAGGATTTATTCGGGGACGACTTTAGTAAGACTACGGGCGGGCCTAAGGATAGTGATGATGTAGAGATGCGGGATAGAGCTCCTACTCCTGGAGTCGGTGATGAGGATTGATCGGATTGTCAAGGGGTCCTTTTTCTTTCCTTTTTTTCCTCATGTTAGCTTTGATGTCTACCCTCGTGTATTGTACCCTCCATTCCTCACCCAAAAATACGCAGTTGTATTCATTAGTCTAGTTAATGGGCGGTAACGGCTACATTTACTCTAATCTGGCATCCGTTATTCCTTTTTTCTTTTCCTCTCTACCTGTACTTTCCCTCTGTTTCCTTTGTGCTACCGTACATTGTAGTTTAACATTATAGTTCCCATGAAAATCATACCGGAATCGTATCAAAAGAGTATCCCAGGAAAGGATATCCCGCATTTTCACATATCATATGCCAGTCTCTCCTCTCCTTTCTTCACATGGTGAGAAAAATCGGGGGGGGGAAAAAGCACATTACGTGAAAATATCATCCGAACCCAACCACTCAGCACCCCGCACTGCACCACGGCACCCTCCTACAACCCCAAACTTGGCCATCTCCAGCGCTCCTGAATCTTCACTTCATACACTTCCCTTCTCCAAACAAACCAGTCTTCCTTGCCCTTTTACGACACCCCCCCTTCCCCCGCCCCCGTATCACGCATGATGCCCATCACCCGCCATCACCACAGCCTCCCTCCCTCCCTTCTTCCCCTTGCACCTCCCAATCGGCTCCGCAGCCTATCAAACCACTCACCCACTCACTCACCCTACAGCACCGAGCAAACCACCACGCATCGGATAGATAATTTAGTCACCGGCAAAAGAAAAGAAGAACGGAAAGAAAAAAGCAATCGTAAGAATGATACCCCCGTATAACGGGAAATATCATACTTGTAGGAGTACGGTACAGTACTCTACTCGAGTACCGGTACCCCTATAGCGCCCATCCCGCCCTAAAACCATTAAGACTTCAGGGGTGGCGGGGGGAGGGAAGTGTAGCATAAACCCAACTATTCACCCATTTTTCCTTCCTTTCCTTTTTCACATTTTCTTTTTCACATTTTCTTTTTCACATTTTTTTTTTCCCCTTCCCTCCTCCTCCTTTTGGTTACAGTACGGTACTCGAGCACAATATTGTTATTCACGACCGTTAGTACCGACCACCGACCACCGGACTAGTCCGCAAAACCCCACCATCAGGATGATACAGTATCTGTGGCGTGTCTAGCACTTTACCTACCCGCTACAACCACACCACTACAATAATACAAACCCGGGGGGGGGGGAGGGGGGCGTGGAAGGAGCAGGAGGAGGAGGCTCTTTATTAATTTATTATCATTAATGCCCTGACAGGACAGATTCCCCACGGATGGATGTGGTGCGTTTAACATAGTCCCACTTTTGTTAGCTTTTAGCATACTCGTGCAGTACTCGTACCGTACTAGTACTTGTTGTTTTAGGAGAGGAGGGCAGGGGGACAGGGAGGAGGGGGGGGAGGGACCTTGAGCGCGACTATGTCGATCGTCGATCTACTCATTCATTTATTCACTCCGCAGATTACGCTTAGTGGTGTCTATTTTTCCTTTTCTCCTTCGTGGGGGTGAACCCTGGAGTTGGGTTGGTCTATGATACGATGCAGTAGGATGGGAGGGAAGGGAGGTTGTTGTTTCTGCTATACCGGTAGTATTATATGATACCGGTTCGGTAGTGGAAGTGCCTATAAGAGGATTCCGGCTATATGCTGGGTACCGTACAGTACAGTACTGTATACGGTAGTACTATACCGGTATCATACTGCATTGGGCGGTGGAGTACCGGTACAGCACAGTAGTCTGTAGTCATAGATGCTCGTTCTAACACGGTGCGGTAGGGAATTGGACCGCGATAGTCAGTGTGGGAAGCAAGGTTCGATACCATACGCAGTTCCTTTTATGCGCTCTGTGGTGTGCTGTACGATAGTCTACTCTAGTATGCACTAGTACCTGTATGCGCTCAATTTTTAAAAGTTGGCAATAGGAGGCAATCATGTGATGCGTGCTTAGGAAATTGGATCACTGGGCGGTGAACGGGAAGGCACATTACATTACTTGTACAATACCGGTACCTACCGTTTGGAAAGAAAGAAAGATCGTGGTTCGCTACCGTAACTAGTTATGGATTTATTTATTTTTCCCGTCCGCTGATCTGCTCGGTTGGAGTACCGGTATCAGGTCGTCGAATGTATCACTGGGATAGTTAGCTCGTATCATGGTATTCAAAACTGTGGCTGATGCACACGAAGAGCAATGCCATCGGGCAGACTACGGTACAGTATCGTGGCTCTGATACATACATGCCACCGCACCCTCACACGACCTACCGTACCCGTACCGTACCGTTACTGCAACAACAACGCTGTCGATCATAGTAATATCACCAACCTCCAACCCAACTCAACTTCACGAGTCCTCGCTACCCCCCCTCCCCCCCACCAATTCGCACAGACACCACGCCCATTTTGCCCGATCCGAACTCTCCAACAAAAACAAAAAGCAGGAAATGAACTTCCCTCCCTGGGATCCAATCTCGTTTCCTACCGTTTCGTTTCGTTTCGTTTCGCACAGCCCGTCTCACCCCCGGCCGGGCGATCTCAAATCACATGACCGGCTGGCTAACCAATTATCGTAAGTACTAGCAGGTTGAATTACGGTAACTAACAAGAAGGCTGCGCACTGTAGTCTACTCGTACTTTTCACCCACTCAGTTCCAGGCTCTCTCTCCCCCTCCATCGGGCCTTGTCTAGCTCCTTCTCCCATCTTGTCTCATATCGCTATCTCAACCCAATGGCAGAACCCCTCCTCCCCCGTTCCCTTTCTACAGTACCGTACCATTATAATATCGGCCTCTCAAAGGTCGTCGGTTCGCCGGTCATTCCACCCTCTCAGGCAAAAATATTCCCTCAACGCCACGGGAAGGGCTCAGACTCCTTTCTCTAACGGGGGAAAGTATACGGTAGTTCATAACTGAAAGAAGGAAAAGTGGGCTGTGGGAAGTTGCGCTCGAGGAGAAAGAGGATCTCTGAGAAATTCCAGCACTGATGACCTTTCCGAAATCGACAACCTCACAAAATATTCTCAAGAAAAAGGAAAAAAGTGTGTAATTCCGGCAATTGCTAGTCATGTCTCGCCGGATCGGATCAGGATCTCAGCTTTGTTCCAACGGCGCCAGAATGAGCTTTGAAGTTTCAGGCCTGAAAAGTACCGATAGGTTGGGTGGATGGGTGAGTGTGTACAAGTACCTGGTAGACCCTTTCCCTCCTTTCTTGCTTTCTTTTTAGGTTACGAGGAGAGCCCCCGCCTCTGGCTGTGATCGGTGCTTGCATATTGAGAGCGAGAGGAGGGTAGTAGTGGGGGATAGGGCGGCCTAAGGTGAGAGATGGCTGGGCGGCTGGCCAGGCGGGCGGGGGATGTGGGTGAACACGCGGAAGAAGAAATATACCGGTATTCCCATATCGTGGGAAAAGATAACGAGAAAAAAAAAAAAGGAAAGAACAGCGCCGCGGGCCAACTGCTCGTGTAGTGCAGTAGCTGGCCCGTGGTGCCATTCTTTCTTCCTCCATCTCTGTACTCCCGCCCTACCAGTACAGCACATACCATACCGCATCAGCCATAGGATATGCACACGACCCCAATACCGTATGTGATAGAGAACCTAGGGAGCCCGTAACTCGGACGCATATCCAACTTTCCGGCAAAAAAAAAATATCACCACCAACGAATTGGTACCCCCACCAGAACCGAACCGACACTCCAAACTTCTCCTCCCTTCCCGTGAATGAAGGAATTCGTGTGCGGGATGTGCCAGGCGACTCTCTCTACTCGAGTACGGTAAGCATTCGGAATGGGAAAAAGTAAGTGATCCGATTATGGTAAAACCAATTCCCCCGGAGATACCTAATTCTGTGGAAATAGCCGTAGCCCACCCCTTCAGCCAGGTAACTCACACTCCGATTACAGCACCCCAAAAATCGCTGGGTACCGTACGGCGGGGTACCAGCGCCCACGGTACACAAGAGCACCCAACATTCTGGCATCAAAGGGACGAGCGCGCAGCAGGCATACATTTCCTAACGTACGCTGCGGTCCATCACCCGGCACTCGTACACAGTCTCAACAACCGGTATCAGAAATCTCGCTACAAAAATCGATGAACGAATAGAACATGAAAGAAGACAACATCACAGCATAGGATACCGGTACGTGAGGACCTTACTGTATGCACGATTACTCAACACTCCCTCCCCCTCCCCCAATCTCGCATCAAGAAGCCTCCCGCTCTTCAAAAAGTCCCGAAAATCTCGGACCTCATTCAGAGTCGTTATCTCCGTGGAGAAACCCACTCTCGCTCTTCAGCATGAACGCTCCTAATCTACGCCCGCGCGGTGCCATGATAATACACTAGTACCCGCAGCTTTAGAGATTGGGGACAGGAGGGAAAGGAATGACAACCCGGTCGGTGAGCTAGGCGAGGCGAGGCCGATATCTCAGTTCCATCGGATTGGATCTGGTTCGGCGTAATGCGACGCGATGTGATGTGATGTGATTAGGGTCCGCTCGAGCGTTTGGCGGTGTCGTTGTTGGCCCATCGCGATTGGGGAGAGGATGGGTTTGGCCTTGATGTTTTTCCTTGTCCATCCGTCCGTTTATCTGGATGGGTTGAGCAATACCGTAGAGAAGTGTAGAGCACCGGTACGAAGGGGGGGGACTGGTTGCGAGATACGGAGATTGAGACAAGGTCGAGATAGAGCGTTTACAGTTTTCCGAGTGAGTTTTTGTGATTTGATCGCCTTATGGCACAACAACCGGCACGTGGCGCATGATGATACTTACCCCACGAGAGGAGTTCCCATGGTCTGTTTTCCTGATCCGGCACTCACCGCAGCGCGCGAAGGTACACCCCGGTTACCGACGTTGGGGGGGGGGGGGGGAAAGAGACGATTTTGTATCATACGGCACTGTACCGGTATCATATCACATCATACGTTGTTGGTGTGTCAGGAACTTGGAACCCAAACCCCCTGTTGCGCACAGTACTCGAGTATCATACCGTACGGTACAGTACGGCGTCGTAAGCCATTGGGGTATGGGAATGTATGATACAGTATACCGTGCCCTGCCGTAGACACATTACCGTACCCATCCATTCATCGGGTCGGTGATTGTTTGCATGTCACTCTCTCGTTCTGTACCTCCTCCTCCTCCTCCCCTCGCGCGTGAAGCGCGAGCTCTCGAGAAGTGGGGAAAAAGGGAAGAGAAAGCGAGAGAGAAAGCGAGAGCGAGAGAGCGTGGACGTGCTTACTTAGACTACTTGTTCGCTCGCCTTGTCAACTACCGTACCGGTACGACGGAGCAGGTTATGTGCCTGCCCTACCTAACCATAAGCACCATCCTATTCCATCTCATCATATGCAATGAGTGGCTTACCGGACGGCGCTACCTATCACCATGTACCGGTACAAGTGCGTAGACTGCGGATGGAAGGGGGGGGGGAAGGGGAGAAAAACGGGTACTCAGTGCTTCGAAAATGTATCTCTGCTTGGTTGTCCCCCTTGCTTTTACTCGTACTTCTACATGCGTTGGCGGAATGCGGGCGTAGGGTACATGTTCACAAGGTCACGTTGGGGCGTCTAAGCTCACGTGCATGCGCGTATGATGTGGATGGGCCTCCCGCGCTTGGGGTGGGGGAGGAGAGATACAGTACGAGTACACAGAGTGAGGAGTCTGAGAACTATGGCTGGGACGACTGGGGAGAGGTTTACGGTATGTCTGTTTGTCGGCCGGTTATGGAAGGTAAGCACAATACCGTACCGGTATTGTGCCGGCTAGTGGCAAGCGAGTGAGATGCTCCATCAGGATCAATCCCGGGCTTTTTAATCTATTCTCCCCATTTCCTTTTTGTTCTGCTACGGTTGTGCTTGGTATTGTAGCCTCTTCTCTTCCCTCGTTTGCTGACGGTGGCAATATGCTTGTGGCATCGACGGTTGCATCGTGGGTCTTAGCGGGCCTCTCTTTCACAACCGACGTGGGGTAGGCTGCTTCGTTTTTGCCCTTTTTTGGATCTTGGCCTCGTTCCCCCCCAATCTCATCCTCACGAGCCAGTGCTCGTACCGGTGGGCTGCGTGGGTGAACCCGGGATATTGGGCCTCTTTTTTTCTTTTTCTTCTTCCTCTTGGTCCACGCTTCCCCTGCATGTGAATGAGGCTTTGATAAGTTGCACTTGTAACGCTTTTCTACCCAACCTCTCCCGACCTAATTATCTGTCTGGATTTTCAACCTTTTCAACCCCTTTGATGTCGGTGTTATCTTCTGTTGAGCTCTAATATCCTCACCTCGTTTGTGGTTGTATCCGGCAACAAAGTATCTGAAAATACGGCTTGTGTCACAAAACCAGTCTACCAGCGGAAAAAACGGTGTCTCATTTTCAGATACCTTCATGCCGGATACGGGTAGTGTATTCGCGCGGCTTTGACTTTCGGGACCCCTGTCCCTCTTCCAGGGCATGTCATTTCACCAGAAAAAACAAAACGCTGGTCTCCCGACGAGCTAGGGTGCTCCCTAGAGCTGTCATTTGCCGTGCCTCTCTTGGACACAAGTACCGGTACCGTGAGCAAGTACAACTTTGATTTGGGGGAGGGTGAGGAAAGTGCGGACACAGAGCAGGGTGATGGATCGGGCGTCTGGTTAATCCCTGGCCCGCACCATAAGAATACCTGTGTACGAGTATTGTAGAGCTCGGTACACTCCCTCGATCCTGGACGGAGATGAGGAGGGAAGGAGGAAAGTTCGCTTCGGTGAGGACTACCGGTAGAGGGGGAAAGAAAAGAAAAAAAGTAAAATAAAGACCGCACCCAAACGTCCTGAAGGTTTACCACGCCGTAAGATCACCCGGCTCGGTTCCCTGTACTCGAGTAGTACTCGAGTAGTGCAGAGGAACCCCGAGCCCCATGAATGGAGATTCCCTAATCGCGGCTCTATGGTTCGTTTCCGGAGTTGAAAAACGCGTCAAAGCTGAGGTTGTGGAGGAGTGGTACCGTACTCTTACCAGCAATTTGGGGGGATTTTCGTGGCCAATCCTCCATAGGATAGGTTTCGGGACACTAACCGAATATCACTCGGGCAGAGGCCACACACAATAAACGGGTTTTCCTCACTGGTGCCTCGTTCCTTGGTGCTCACACCTGCCCATACCAGCCCAACCCAGTAGAACGAGGTTTGAATTTTTGATGGACGGTAGCGACGGTAAGGCGCATGTCAACAGAGTTGGGGCCTGCAGACCCCTTTAGGGGATTCTTCTCCTGGTCTCGTTTCCCCTCGTTTTCATGGGAAGGCGGTAGCCGACGGCAGTGTAAACGGTAAACGAGCTTACAAGGCGGTCAGCGAGATGAAGCATGGAAGCCGACGGATGGCATCGGAATCTTGCCTTGAGTGTTTCTCCCTGTTGGGGGGGACTTTCCTCGCCCGCCTCCCCGGCCTATCCTATCGTGCTCTTACTGTACGGCACGTCGTGGTCGGGACCACCGGTATGCTGGATGGGGAGAGATTTTGTGAGAATGATGATGATGCGTTGGATGCGGGTTGTCAGACGGTCTCGACATTATCCTTAACTCATGCTTCAAATATCTGTGTAAAGTTACCTGTGATATTCATTGATATACGGTACTCGAGGACTGTGGGTGGATGCGCAAGCACTTATGCAGACTGCGCACCGGTATCGTGTATTGAACGGCTATTCGGAGGGACGGAGATATAGAATGGCCGCATACAACTATCTGTGCTTGCATAGAGTGCTCAGTACCGGTACAGGTACTAGTACCCGTACAGTACAATGCTTGCACTCGGGTACGGGAGGTACGAGCGGTCGTATCATGCATTACATAGCCCATCGGCATTTGGGAGTGGCTGTGGTCCTGCCAGTGAGATTCCTGGTGGGTAGGCTCTGCATTGCATAGTGCAAAACGGTATCACTCGAGAGGTATTCAATAAAGGGTTTAGACCGGCTTTGCGCAGTTGAGATTCTGGTCTCACGGGGGTTTTCACACGAACCGGGGAGGGTTAGGGATCCCCCCTTCCCAGTATCATAATTATCATAATATCATATTCGCACATCTCCATCGTCATTGCCCTAAGCCGAATTCTTTAAGGCTCGCCCGCGAAAGTTTTGTTCCCGTTCCTCTTGCGGGCCTATGATACGAGTCCTTGCGGTGGCCTTGCAGGCTTAGGGGGAATGACCTTGGCTAGCATGCTCCGGGGCAAGGGGAAGGATCCAGAGGAACGGAGGGAGGGATGGAGCGAGAGAGGGCGGGGAAGGGGACAGCGGAGAAGGGGAGAGCGGGGACAGAGGGTTCAAGGGGGTGAGTGATGGCGATGATGCTGCCAGGAGCGTTGCTATAATGATGGAATATGGTGCTGGTATTGTGTGTACTGTACTGTACGAGTACTCGTACAAACACCGCATTTACATTTACGCTTGCATCATGCTTGAATGGAGTAGACCACCGTAAGACGGCCACACACCTTCTGCCTTCAGGCCTATCGATCTTCATATTCTTCCCGGGTTTGCGGATTTCTCCACGATGATACTGTATGTCCCTCTATATTTAGCCTAGTTCCGTCAAAACCCATACTCTTCTCCTTACATGGAGAGCCGTATCAACCTCTCCCGTCAAACAATTTCACGGGATAGAGTGCTCCATTCGCATGCACGATATCTGCTGCGAAGATCGGTGACAAACTTGGATTTCCCTGCAAACAGGCACTCAATGGACGAGCCCGTCCTCTCGTCACCGGGCCGGGAACTACGAGTAAGGTCCCAGACAGGTTCCTCCTGGGGCTGGCTTCTCCTTCATCCTTTTTTCCTCTCCTTTCCTTTTTCTTTTTCTTCTTGTTTTCGCTGCACAGGATTCTGAATCCTTCCAGATAGCTTCTGCGGAAAGGCATGGTGCACACATGCACACTTCCCACCCGGGTATATGTAACAAAGCGCACGCTAGTCTTGGTTTCTTAGTCTCGACTCGGAAAATGCACCATTCAAGGTCCCCCAGTTTCACAGCGGAACTTGTCTTCTTCAAAGATCTCTCCTTCTCTCCCTTGTTTCTCCAACCGTCCTTTCTCCCGTCCACTCCTTCTCCCCTCCTCCGTTCAAGACTGGTGCAGGTGAAGCTGGTTCGCTGGACGAAAAAAGGAAAAAAAAAGAAAAATTTCATAAAGAGATCTATCATACCTCATTCCCCGGAAACCCTTTTTTTATATTATTATTATTATTATTATTATACTTCCCTCTCTATTCTCCCTATCTGTTTGTCTTGAATCTTTTCCGCCATCCGTCATTTATCAACCATAGACCATCATCCTTCTTGCAACACTATCGGCAACCTCATTCGTTTCATCACACAATCACTATCGCCCTCGCCCGCGTCGCACGCTTTTTTCACTTTGGCGGCTTACGAGCACGAGTACTCGAGTACAGCGGGCCCTCCCTCTATCCGTTCCATATATCATACCTACCTTTTTACCGATTTCATAAGCACCCCTAATCTTCGCCGCATCGAGGGATGAAGCAGCAGCACAGCAGAAGCGTTTAGTAGTAAAATCTGATTCGGGTTGAATCAGCTCCATCGTTCCAACTCCCGAACTTTTGTACAACCCAACCGAGTTGGGAAGCGAAAAAGGAACCATTTCAGCTATTCGTTGCAGCTCCCACCCCCCCCCCCCACCACCCGACCCTCTGCCGGCCGTTGTACGGTACTCGAGTACGATTTTGATTTATACCCTCCCTTGGGAATATTTCTTCCCAATCGTAGGGCTGCCGCTCAATTATCCAAATTAATCGGCTTTGTTCAATCAACCTTCTCTGCTGGTCCTGGGGTTCGGCTTGAAATTCGCAATTAACTAGGTAGTACCACCACAGAATAGATCACGGCACTTTCCGGCATCAAGAGGGGATATTGTGCAGCAGCCTCGAGACTATAGGCTACCCCAGACCCCCCGGTACCACAACCCCCCCCCCCAACCCACACCCACCCACCCACCCACCCACCGACACACACACACACGCACAAACAATTTAACTGCTTTGTTATTTTGTGGGATGCATCTCATAAATAAACCCAATACATCCCGAAGGAATTCTCGCGAGTTGTCGCCAGAGGATCGTACAGAGAGCGAGCTCAATATGGATTACGACTGCACCCACATGTATGCGGCCCCTCCAGCCAGATCGAAGCAGAGGGGAGACAAGAGACAGTCTCGGATTAGGACATCGTTCTTCGGCGGTGGCAATAAACGTGGGAGTCTTGAGTATTCACCAGGGGATAGTGGAGGGTCAAGGAGTCCATCAAGGATGGTGACCGATAAGCACGACCAGGAAGCTGGATCATTTGGCTTTGGACGACGAAAGTTGCGAAAGGCGTCATCGAAGGTCAGCCTTCGGTCGATGACTTCAATGACAATTCACGAGAGTCCAGATGAGAAGTCGGGATATAAATCACTTTCTGAAATCCTGAGAGGAGGACGGACGCCTTATGGTATGCATGGACACTCACCCTATGGAATTCGCCCTGGCTAAATGCATGGTTGTACTTCTAGCTCAACGAAAGGGACCTAATCCAATTAGCTATCCCTTCAATTTCTCTCATATCACGCATGCCAACTCACAGGACTTCAGCCGACTACACAAGGCTCCTCAGCAGGAACTAGTCCGTGATTTCAATAAGGTGGTACGAGATTCTTCACTACCCCTACGGCTGAGAGGAACTGGCGACTCGGACGAATCACCGTTAGCGTCGCCAATGTCTTCATATCCTGTATCGAATCGTTCACGTTCATCATCATTCCAGACGATTGCATCGAGACGACGAGCCAATTCAACCAAGTCAATATCGCCCAGTGAATCGTTATGTGAACTGAGTCGGGTCCGCTCAGAGGAGAGTTCTCGATACGCTTGCCCACTCACTCCGCCCCCGAGGACATCATCAAGACATTGCCTCCGTAGTCTGCAGGAAAGCCCATCGGAGGATGGCCCAGATGATGATGCTACATTGGTAAACATCTCGGATGACATTTCAGAACGGACGCTTCCTCATGCGGTAACTACGCCTGATAATAGCAGCTATGGTAGAAAATCTCCTGGGATTGAAAAACTTATGAACAGTGTACCTGACGGATGCACTCCAGCCCAGCAGGATCGAGTGGAATTGCGAGGATACAAATCTACGCCTGACCTGACGCAGATTCGGCAAAGAAGCTTCCTCACTGTGCGAACTCGGCCTATCAGCCAGCTCAGCCAGGCGTCGGATACGCTCAATGGCAGCTTTACTGTTCCCGCCAGCCCAAGCCAGTCCATTTGCAACCGCCGTGCCTCGAAAAGGCTTTCGGTGCTCATGCGTGCGCCGGGGGAATTTCCCTCGGAATCCGGCGCGTGCCTCGACTCCTGGGAAGAGGACATTGACTGGTGCTATAGGAACCAGGTAGATGCTGATTGTGATTTCATTTGGGATCAGAGCCCGGAGTGTGCGCCCCAGACGGCGGTGGGTGTGGAGGAGACTGGTGACCTCTCGGTGTCCATGCGTGACTCCACATCACTGCGCAGTGAGCTGCTAAAGTTCCCTGAACCCAGGGAACACTCTGCTTTCGTTGACAAGCGAATCACTGGTACGTTTGAAGACAAGCTACTCCTGCCGCCTACCCCTCGTCTTCCGCCCAGCCCCGGTTTCCCGCCATTCGAAGCTACCATGGCTTCAGGCGTTGGGGTAGTCGATGGCGGGTTTAGCGCATATGAGCCTGACAATGAGGCAATTATCTTCCGAGCAGCAGACACGGCGCTGCGACACAGATCGCTCAGCGCCTCGGCTTCACTCCCAGACCTCGCTCCATGTCGCACACCTCGCGATGAACTCACCCGAGTAGCAAGAAAGTTGGACGAGCATATCGCGGCCCTCAACCATGAAATAGCCTCACCTGTCACCGAGCACCCTGCCTTCCACCCCTTCGTTGTATCGCGCGGCCTCTCTGCATCCTATCTCCGTAACCGGTCGAGGGCAGACTCGGAAGCGACATGTGTCACTCTCTGCTCAGACACCGAGACTGTTACACCCATCGACAGCATTGAGGTTATTACACCCTCCAACTCGGCTCATAATTCTGTCAACTTCAATTCACAGTACCTTGAGGGCAGAGTCGAGAAGGGATTATCTTTTGCTGCTGCGGTATTGCCAGGAGTTGTTGAATTCGGTCCTGAGCGCACTCACACCATTCCTATCGGGGAAGAGGGACTCATCCACTTCATCTGAACAGAAATATCACTAGGAGAGCTTGCACTGCCTGTCTATACTTTTTCCCCCCCATCTTCCTCGGCGGATATCACATAACTTGTAATCTTATTACCGGTCCTGGCCTTTTTTATTATTATTTTTGAGGACAACCTTCTCAACTGACACATGCCCCCTCACTGGCAGCAAACATATATATATATATATATATATATATGTAATTTTTTTTCCTTGCGTCTGTTATCTTCACGGCCTGGTGGTGCCTTCTTTTTTTGTCTTTTTGTTTTGTTTCATACGTTCTTAGATTTCTCTTACAAAAAAAAAATGGGGACTTTGGGGTGTTAATATGGGGGTTATTGTTTATAAAATATTTGTCTTATGTTCATTCATCGAAGGGTTTTTATTTTTATTTACAAGCGCATCTACTGGTCTGGTCTCATTTGTCCTTTCTTATTTATTATTCCCTTTATCTGGCTGGGTTTAGTGGTTTCTCACCTTTTTTTTCTTTCTTTTTTTCGCCGGTATTTTGGTAACGGAGGGTGGATGGTATGGGATTGTACGGTATGGGGCGGTTATCTCGTTTACTTACTTTTCTTGTCAGATATATTTTTTTCTTGATGGAAAAGAAATCAGTTGAAGATTTTGGTGCTTCATACGCTCCTCTCACTCTCACATTGTCGCTCACTTTGCTAGTCGCTCGTTAGCTAGCTACCATACTCGGCTCATTTTCCGGTACTGTACTACACACGTGCGTTCACTTGTTCACACAATCGCTCTCATTTGTCCATTTCAATAATTTCCTTTATATAAAGTCATCGGTGGTGGGGGGGAAAGGGGGGGTTGGTTCTCTTGCCTTACTCGCGCAGCATTTTCCTTTCTTTCTTTCTTTCTGTCTATGGTATTACGGGGTAAGGTGGGGGGTTTCTTATTTCTTTGGGGGAGGGGGGGCGGGCAGGAAAATGGCAAAAGCTGTATTGTTGGGGCTGGGCTGGCTGATTTCGACATCCCTTTCTTTTCTTTTCTTACCGTTCCTGGCTATTTTCTTTTTTTTTTCCCACACATTTTCTGTTTTTCTCCCAGAAATGATTGTAGAGTGGTGGTGGTGGTTGGTGGGTGTATAGTAACTGCACGATATTGTAGTTTGTATGCTGCATACCGTGCCTGTATCATACTCGTACAATCAGTTCCTTTTTCCTTCCTTTCCTTTTCTTCTCATTTCATTTCTCCTCGTGTTGGCTCCTGCTTTGCTTTTACTAGACCGCGCACCCTTTTTTCTCTCGTTAGTTAGCTAGTCCCTTACCTTATTTATTTATTTATTCGTTAATCCGCGGATCTTGTTGATGTTGTGATTGATAATTATTATTGGGATCAGTCCTGTTGAGCCGCAAGATCTAAAGTATAAGTAAGATGGATGGATAGATTGGGAGATATCGATACGGTATCGTACTTTATATTATAATTTAGCTTGGCTTACTTGCTTGTAGTATGGTAATATAGTAAAATATTTAGTTGTCGGATTGGAGATCGACCTGATTTGGATTTTTCTGCACTTTCGTACAGCATAGTAAATATAAGTGCTTGTATCATACCAGCCCTCCCTTCGATGCACAAGTCAGGGGGAGGAGGGCAGGAACAGTATCATACAGAGTTATGAATTCCGGTCACGACATGATAGGTGGTCGAAGCGGTCTCCCAGTCGGTACCCATTATATACAGCAATTAAATTTAGCAACTACAGTATCATAGGTCTGGAGCAGCAACAACAACCGGGCAGGGGCATATATCTCCACGAGTTCATCTAACCCGACCCAATTCCACACTCCTCATCACAGCTCGCTAGAAGGCGGGGGAAAATGGAGGAATGGAGGAATAATCGCATACAGTTGCTGTACACGCTCGCCACTCGCATGATGGATTATTGGAAGGTTCGGTGTAGTCTCCGTTCCATACCCCCCCCCCCCCTTTCCCCCCCTTCCCCTTTCCCCATCATTCTCCCCCCTCCTAATCACTCCGCAATGGTAACGAGCGTGCTAATGCGTTGGGTGTTTAGAACCTAACGTGGCTGGTATGATGCCTAAGCCGTGTACGGTATAAGTGCAGAGGAGCAGAAGCACGAGCACAAGAAGGAAGAGGAAGAAGAAGGGAAGATGGTAAAGAAGCAGAAGAGGGGGAAGAAAGAATTGAGCGAATGACTGACTGTCGGGAAGTTAACCGTGCGTTATTGCATCGTGCTTGCTTTTACCCTCCTGTCCCATTGAAGCATGTACCTTGCTTGCTGCGCTCTGCAGTTCATTGCGCTGTATAACGAATGGGTTTCGGTCTACGGGTTGGACTACCGTACGTACAGTACCGTACCGGTGTCAACGGACTACTGTACGTTTTATCTGGGGAATTGGGGGAGGAGGGGGGGATTTTTTTTTTGGCTAAGTTTTGATATTATTATTTCTTTTTGAGTGAGCGAGTGCGCTGTTTTCGTTTGTTTCGCTGGTCACGAGACGGGTATGGCGCCATTTTTTTATATATAATTTTTGCTTGTTTGCTCATTGGGAGAGTGAGTATGGAGGGACCTGGTATGTATGTATGGCTGATGAAGGGTGAGGATGATTGACGGTGGGAGTGGCGAGTTGCTTCCGGTGCGGGTATGGTGGGGCATGGATGGTTTGATTGCGGACCATGTTGTGGACTATGGGCTCGCTTGTTATGGCAGAGTTTGTAGGTGATTGGGGGGATGGAGGTGCCGATGTGCTCGTACAGAGTACAAATGATGGTTTCGCTGTGTTGTGCTCGTGTGGTGCCCGAGTGCGGATGCGGTCGCTATCTACAGTACTGTGGTACTTCACTACCGTATTGATTCTTCTTCTGTACTCAAGTATCCTACTGCTGTGCGACTGGCCGCGCAGTATTATAGTACTAATACTGTATCATACCGCCGTGGCGGCGGTGCCGGTAGCACAGTAGTGGTATGATAGATACCGGTCCGGTGACATTCCGCTCCGCCACTCCTCCCCGCCCCCTTCCCTTTTAACCCGCAAGCCAATCATTACATATCGTCTGCCTATCATGCACCTCAACAACCCACTCGCCCATAGTCACCGCACACAGACGACTATCATACCCGCGTCCACAAACAAATCCTAGCCAGGGCCGTCATCGTCCTGACGAAAGGAGGGAAGGAAAGGGCATTCACCCATTCATCCAACCCGCCCGATAGCCGGCCAAAAAACCAAATACGGCATTCTACGCTGGACTGACTGTTGATCGGTGCCGTGGGATTCTGCTGTGCTACTTCATCATCATCTTAGTTCCTGCTTTCAGTTGCCGGCCCCTCCCCCCTCCGGTGGGCAAACCGGAGGAGAGCAACCTACCTGCCCACCCCTCGCGGCACATTACCAACCCGACACCGTCTGGAACGGAAGGAAGTTTGGGGTTTTTCTGGAGCTTGGTCGATGGGAACCAAAACATGGCTTTCCAGCCCGGAAGAATTGATGCATTGTGCAGGGCGGGAAGGGCGGGCGAGCGGCGATTGGTTTGGAGTTGGGATTGAGACTTGGATTCGTTTGTTCGTTTCTGCTTGCTGGGATTTGGATTTACTTTGATTCTGGCAAGGAGGGATTGGTGAATGGGTGGGGTTAACCCGATGAGGAGATTATCAGAAGGAAAGGTAAGTCGATTGCGCGCGCTTCCTTAGTGCCAACTAGTTTTTTTACACAGAAATTAACTTCTGGTCTAGGGATCACCGTCCGAAAGGATAACGGGAGAAGAAAACCTTACGGCAGGAACATTCGAAAAAAGCAATTGGGGATCAGCCGGAGGGGAAAAAAAATGACGGAAAAAGAAAAAAAACAAAGACATGGCGACAAACTAGGCCGACGACGACAGCGAACCCTACCAAACTACCGTCAACGAATGGATCGGGATCTGCTGTGCTGTTCACAAAAGATACCCAGTACAGTTCTTACGACTGCTCCTTCGCGATCCTCATTTCCTCCTTCTCTCCCTTACCGCGCTAACCACTCTAGAGAGTAACACACACGCACCGTGTAGCGCCGACAACTACTTCCTTTATCCTCACTCGCTCCGTTTGCGGTCCGGCAATTAAAAGGACCAGAAACCACCCTGGCGACTGCAGAGGGGAAAGGGAATGGGGATGGCAAAAGGGAGAAAACAAGGAAGACACCCAGCTGGTGGGTAGGGATATACCATGGAATGGCCGAGAGTTCGGTATTCCCAATCGACAGGGGTCCGGAGGGTTATGGATGATCCCGGCTTGCCTGCTACTCCCGGTGCCAGACTGCTGTGTCGTTCCAAGTGTGTGTGTGTGCGTGTTTTCTTCGCAGCGAGGGCAATACGATAGGGATAGGGGGGGGTACGAAGGGGTAAAGGGCAACTACCAGGACAGGGACAGGGACAAGGGGGAAACTATTAGGGTGCCCATTGTGTTGGGTGAGGACCTAGTTGATACACGCTCACCAGCATCCCACATGAGTGAATTTGTTTCCGGTGGCTCGGTATTTTGTGTCGAGTGCTAGGGGGTTTGTTTGGTACTAGTAGCGGAGAAGCGGAGATCGGGCTGAGGGGAACTCGAGGCCGGGACAAGTTTTGGCGAGAGCTTGGTTTCGGTATTTGCACGAGTCCCGTTGGGGCAAGCTGAGATTGGTAGCGCTGCTGTTGAATCCGGCACAGATCCGTTGGGGCCGAGATTTTGCTGCGCTCGTGTGGATAATGGTATTATATGATATAACATCAATATCCACAATATCACAGGTCTAATGTTTTATGCGTACGGTATTCCCCTCTACACTCTAGGTATGATGCTCTAGAAACCATCATAACCCCACGCGCACTTCCCCTAATGTAGAACTAGTAGAGTACAGTGCACAAGACCTGACCCGTGCATTTCCAATTCCCCCCATGCCCGTAAATAAGCATGATTGATTGATAGATACCCCACCCCTCAACCAATCGCACGATCCAACCCTCACGGTACTAGCGCCATACCATACCGGTACTTGCAAGTACTCGCACCAAACACTAAGACCCCCCCCCCCCTTCCCCGAATGGGCAATGGAGAAGAAAGGACCTAGAAGGGTACCGAAACAGGAGAAGTGAAAAGAAGAAGGAAATGATTGGAGACATTTTCCCCTACTCTATGCAGTTTCCATAAATCGATATTAACGTATCCCCCCCTTTTTTTTCTTGTACTCGAGTATATATATATATCATATGATACTCGTACCAGCCTTACGACCGTCCATCCATCCACCTGCCAATCTAGTACAAGTATCCGTAAGCAACATACTTACAAAGAACGAAAGCCGCATTCTTGTTTTTTTTTGGATCGACGGGTATTACGGTACTGGCAAAGTACTTTTTTATGTGTGATGCTATAACGTGGTATGGCATAGTACGGTATAGTACGCTGTCGTGTTGCAGTCGCCTGGTCACTGTACCGTACCGTATCATAACACGATTGGACAATCACAAAATACAAGCAATATTATCCTCCGAATTAGTCAGGTGCTCCAGTACTACTTACAGTTATGCGATCCCATCATTCCCGGTATGGTCGGTACCCTATTTGACCTCCCCCTTTTTTTTTCCTCTTCCTTCCTTCCTTCCTTCCTGCTGTGCAATGGTGATCGTGGTTGTACGATGATGGTATTCTTAGCTTTCTACAAGTTATTGTCTACGGTTTTTTGGTATTGTCGTTGCGCTGTGTAGATCTTGCTTTATATTATATATAGATTCTTGAGTATGGTACTGTACAAGTAGGAGCAGTAATTTTATTGTCATAATGAGTACGAAGCTTGTTTTCTTGTACTTGCTGTACTCGTACTAGTATAGTACAGTACACGCTGGCTGTGCTGTGCTGTGCTGTGCTGTAGACTAACACATCCGTGCGTCCATGTCAGCTTTTGGACTGGATACTTGTAACTCGTAACTGTAACTGTACCGTTACCGTTGCTTTGCTATTTTCGGGGGATGTTTTCCGGCTCGGCCCCACCATTTGACTAGTCTACTGTAGACTAGCGTTCTGTCTGTCTGTCTGTCTGTCTGTCTGTCAGTCGGTCGGTCGGATGTGGGGACAGCTAATTTAGGTTTTGCTTTGCTTTACGGCGGTGTGGAGAATTTTTTTTTTCTTCAACCCCCTTTTGCTACCGTATCGTTGTTGCTCTCACTTTCGGTATCATCAAAGTTAGTTTTAATGGAATTTTAATTATTTTTATTTTTATTTTACTCGTACTGTGCTGGTATGACGGTGCCTAGTCTACCTACGGTCCGGAGTTATTGGCAAGGCAAGTATGTACGTAACTCGCGTTCAGCATCTAGATTTATTAAAAAAAGCGATGGATTGGAAAAGTCACTTTGGATTTTTACATTTTTACGGCTCGTCCTACTGGGGAAGGAAGGAAGGAAGGAAGGAAGGAAGGAAGGAAGGAAGGAAGGAAGGAAGGAAGGAAGGAAGGGGAGAGGGTTGTACTGTACTTGTATACGGCACAGTACTCGACAATCCCGTGATAGAACATATGATAGCGTTATCAACTCATGCCATCAGCCACTGCTATTTGTACCATTCGAGAAGGAAAAATCACTGGTGCTCCCCCCCCCCAACCCACCCCACCTCACCCCACCTCGTGATGATCAGACAAGACAAGACAGAACTGATGAGGGTTACCTTTCAACAAAACGGGCGGCTAATGATTATCGATTTGTGTCGTGGGCTCGTGATTCCTTGGCTTGATGCTTTCGGTGCTGTACCGTGAGTGGGTTAGTAACGCGTGGTACTTTTGTAGCGGAAGGTGCCAGTACTCGTACAGTGTGCCGCACACATATTTTGTGAAAATGTGAGAAACATGGTTTAACTGACCGCCATGTGATTTACGGTTTCCTGGGTTTTTACCCATTTTTGGGTGCACGATGCCCAGCCATGGAATAGATCCTTATCTGTACCGTGGCGGATCGCCTGGAGGATAGCGTGGCTCCATCTTTCGACTTCCCAAGTAGTTGTTCTGGTCGGGCACTACTGTACTCTACTCGTACGCTATTATACAAGTAAGGAAGGATTCAGGAATTAATGCTGAGGCACCATAGCGTATCATAATTTAGGTACCGGCATGATGTGATACGAGTAATTCGAACTTGAATCTTTCCCATTCGTTAAGCCTGGATCGAAATCCATGACAGCAACTCCTCCACTCGAGTACAGCACAGTAACACCCAACCCCGGTAATAATGAGGCACAAAGTCCCTATTTGGGTCTGGGCCAGCACTAAATTTGGATTAGCGAGTCGATTAATTCCCAGTTCGAGCCGGGAATGGGGGGGGGGATCGGCTGTCACACTACCGGTATCTGGTTCAACTTGTACTTGTATTGTAAGCTTACCGGGGTAGTCTACTCGGGTAAGGGTGGAATAAGAAACATCAGATGATCTTTACCCATCACGCATTCCTGTCATCCAGTCGGCTACGGTACCCCTCCCCTTCCCCTTCTCCTCTCCTCCCCTCTCCTGAAAAGGGGGGGAAGGGGGAGGAAATGGCCGTGGAACAACTTGACAGGTTTTCGCTTCGGCGCGCTTGGGAGGATGATAAGTCGCGAGTTAGGCAAATCCCGATCGGGATACCGCAATAATTGCGAGGGAAGGAGGGGAAAGGAAGAAGGAAAGAAAGAGAGAAAGAGATCCTCAATTTGCCCTCTCGGTGCCACATCGAAACAATAATCATTAATACCCTTTAAATATCGCATCACATAATAAGCTTACCTACAACCCGTGCATGCACGGACACGGTATTTTTGCACAATTCCCCATTATCATTCCCGATACCATTTCCTCCATGTCCTCTCTATCATACTGTAAATTTACCGGTATGATACGGTGCTCCGCCTGTGTGGCATGATACCGTACCTGAACGCGCCCCACCACCCGCACCCGCACCCCCACCGCACCCCCACCCACCCACCGGGATTCCGACCACTGCTAAATGCGGTACTCGTCTCAATCCTCGCTACCCACCCGCTCAACCGGAAGTAAACATTCGCACGGGCATCGCGGGGTTTAGGGAAAGGAAAGGGAAAAAAGGAAAAGAAAGGAAAGAGTTCACAGGTTACATTGAATATGCTCTCAAGCGCGATACACATGTTGAGCACGTGCACCATAGGAATACAAGTACTGCTGACTACCGCCTCTTGTTCACCTATGATTCCCGTCTAGTGCTGCGACGGGTGAGATTTCCCGTGTGTGGGCCGATTGAAGGGAGGAAGGAAGGTGCTGTGAAAGGGGGGTGCCGTATAACGTTGTAAGGATTGGATTGGAGAATATGCTTCCCGTTGGAGCGGGAAGGAGGGATGGACAAAGAGGACAGAAAGTGTTTCAAAGCGGGATCAGTCCCCCCCTCCTGGAGAGAACGAGAAAGAGCGAGAGCGATTTTCTGCAATACTGTAATGGCAAACGGTACGACGGCATGAACGAGTGGCTGTTTTGTTTGAGTTTTGCGTTTCTTTTTTCTTTTTCTTTTTTCGTGTATTGTACGAGTACACGCGGAATGCTACGGTACAAGTACAAGTACCGGTACCGAACTCGAGTACCGTACGCTACTCGGGTGCTGGTGCGGTACGATGCTGGTACCGGTATGGGGTTATGATTTGCCAGTACTCGAGTATATTGCAGTACCCATGATAAACCTGGAAGGCTCGGTCTGTCGGTCAGTCGGTCTGAGTCTGGCGAGATCTCATTGGCCGTGTAGCATACAATCCGTCTATCGGTGGCTGCCCCAAGGGTGGTACCCTTGGGTGTACCGGCCGTGGGGCTCGAGCTTTTTTCAGTCAATCGGGACATACTTTTGTCCCAGCCGAGAGGTACGAGTACCTGGAAACAGGGATTCGAGAGATGCGTGGTGAGGGAAAAAAAATCTGTGCGTATCTGAGCGCCAACACGAAATATACCCTTCCCTGTTTTCGGGTGCTGCTTGCCCGGGACGGGTACTCGTACAGTACAAAATCTGCCGGTATTGTAGTCAGGTTGTGGTGTTTGATGCTGATCGGATTAGACCGTATATTCACGGGGCTATCCCGCGAAACCCGTATGTCCGTGGGGTTGGGAAGAAGGAAAGAGCCGGTTTTGGGATTTTTTTTTAGGTGCTTGCACACGTATTATATGGTACAGTATTATAGTTATTGCGTTTCATAGCCAATGGTATACCTTAGGGTGTTACCAATGGAACTGAACCCACGGGATGGGAGGGAGGGAATCGAGCGTGGTGCGCCAGGGGAGGTATGATATACGGTATACCGGTACTCTATCGGTAAATCAATAGGTGTAGAGATGGCCCTGTCGATCTCGATATCAGTGTATAATTGACAGCCCTAAGTTTATGCCTTGGTATTTGACCAATCCACCGACCGTGCATTGTGCCACCCGAATATACATACTGTATCACAACCTGAAAGTGGAGCTGGGATACCCGTATCAATCGATGTTGTGCGATAAAACTCGTCCTTCTCGTTGCGTTATCAAACCCTATGATGCCGCAGGCGAATTTTTATGCAATTGCGAGATATCGGCCCTGGAGCGCTTGTCTTGCACTTGGGCTCCCTTCTAGGACCGTGGCCGTGGGATCCCATCCAGCGGTAGATTACTCATCTTCCCTCAAACTTTTCGTGTCCTGTCTTCAAGTTTAAAGTCGAAGATTTCAGGCTTTTCTTTGACATGGGATTTAGTTTAGGCTTTGACAAGCAGTACTAGGGCCTTTCCATCATGACAAATAGCCCTTCCTGGTAGGGTGGTCTTGGGGGGGGGGGGGGGGGTTATACCTCCTGTATTGACCATTTCAAGGGGAGTTGTGTTGGGGATTTACAATGCTCCTGCACGAGTGGTTTGAGGAGTGCATCGTTGAGCTGGGGGGGTCATTGCGGGGTGGAGGGCAAGCCTTTTGTTGGAAAGAGTTGGCTCACCGTTGGCCAAGGCTATTCAGTTGGGAGGGGCGTGCAGAGAGAGAATTTCTATCGCAACCGGGGTTTCGGCCCCAAAATCTATGATATCTTGGTGAACCATCCATGGGTGGGGTTCGTATCATACCGACAAACCGGGTTTGACTTTGGGATGTGAATCGAGAAGCTGCTCTAGATGGCTCGACTCTCCGAGGCTTCTAACTTTACCTCCTAGAGATAGTGTATGTAATCAGCACGAAATCTTTGCCGTATACTGAAATCAATGGCAAACCATTCACGGTCCCTCCTAGCGCGTTCGGTGCCCTGGTTCTGGCCTTAGCACTTGCAGGTGGCGCCGCGCCCATCGGTATATACCGTATATCATCTATTGATCTTCTACAGCACCCTCTTGGGGATCGATGGATGAATTGGGACAAAGCCGATACTCGAGTATATTCTGGGTTTGCTAGATCCAACTATTTCTTGATAGCCCTTTTGGCTACATAATATCCCTCGCTGAGGGTGTAAAGTTGGACCTTTGTTGTCCAGTAGATATCGCCCCCTAGGTGCACCAGTCTCTTTCATGAGTTGCCGTATTGCGATGCCACACTCGGCTTCATTCTTGCAGAACTTTGCCATACCGGCTTGGCTGTATCTAGCATATGTGCCTTGAGAACCGCACCGAGGCCCGTCACTGATATTTTCGTGGTACGGGGGCAAGCTCATATGTCGATGGCAGAGCGTTTGGAGTCATTATTGATAGCGATGTAGATAACCAAATCGTTTCGCGTGCTAGGGAAGGAACGGCCCGGACGATTAAGGGGGTAAAGAAGTGAAGATGACTTGTCTGTGATTTGCGATCTGTTTCCCCGATGTCTTCGGTTTTTTTGACTTCTCTAAATCTTGCTGGAGTAAAAGTCGGGGTCCTTATCATTGACAGGCAGCTTGGGCTGCGAGGGATAAACTTGTTTCTTACTCTTGCGGGGTACCCGGGTATAACTACTGGTTACTTTATTCGTCCCAGATCAAAGGAGAAGAGTGGACATCAGTGCAAGTACTGGAATGCCGCTGCTGTGGTTTGCGTTTGAAGGCTGGCCTGCGTGGATCTGTACGAATATCTTAGTGAATATGATCAAGATTTTGGTTATCAACCAAGGAATTCGGCTCACTTCTGACTGCTCTTCGCAGGTAAAACCGAAATCCCCAGTGATACCTTCACCATATTATTATCGTTTCCTTTCTTCCCACTAAATCGGGGTCCTAGAATACAGGAATTTCCACACTTTCTTGCTGTGAAGGCTAAAACCACCAATCTAAACCTGGGCTTGGGCCCCCAAACGAGGATATACAAGGAGGATATACCATTGGAGATCCTAGATAACGCTATCATCTTGCTTCGTGAAGCTCCCATAGAGCTAGCGTCCCGGAAGTTTTGGCTTGAAATACAGGGGGGTATCATGCCCGGGAATACTTTTCTGTCACTCGGCTTTTTGGTATGACGGGGGGTCAGAACTTGGAGTGCAAGCTCTCTAATCCGGTATCGAAAGAATCCACCCTCTTTACCCTCCCCGTTAGTGGCTTGGTAAGTATCATGGAGAGGAAATTACCGGATGAGAATTAGCGATTATTAGGTAATTGCAATAACTTGGGCCGTTCCTAGTACAAAAAACGACTCTGCCTCGGCCTCGTCGTGGTGTGAATGATCAGGCGTCTGAGCAGTTTTATCCTGGCTGAGGTCTCGATCCTTCCCCATTGACTCCAGAACTTCCCGGTGTCCATTCATAGGTGTCCATGAGTTGGGTGTTTGGTGATCTCTACCGAAACCGACATTTGACCGCCCCAATAACAGCCTCACTTCCTCTACACGCCACTTCCCAGCTGCCCACGAGGGTGGTGTTCGGCCTTGGCCATCCGTCCTGTCGGGGTCGACCTCCTTCTGCCCCGGGAATTCGTTCCACTACTTTGTGGTGCCCGCTCTCGGCACAAGGGAGACTGGATTCTGGCCACAACTATCGGGGTAACCAGGATCAATGGCTTCCTGCTCTGACAGCAACGCTGTGAGTTCCTGATTGCCGTTTTTAGACGCCCAAAGAAGTGGCGTAGAACCAGTAAAATCGTGACTATCCATGTCCCGACATCTCATCGTTAGGGCAATGGCAACTTCTTCAATACCAAGAAATGCCACCCAATGCAACCTAGTGAATCCCACTGGCGGATAATCAGACCCGCGATGCCATAGCCAGCACTTGCTCTTGGTCGAAAGCAGCTTAGTAGATATGTTACCGTAGCGGTCAAGAGGCCCAGAACGAGTGACTTCAACCTGTCCGTGGTTTCTCATGTGGTATGAATTCCTTAGTAGCAAGGAGCATAATGAAAAGGCAGTTTCCGAAGATCAGAGAGAGTAGGTGATGGGCCCACAGAATTCGGAAAGTAGAGATATGCTAAACAGGGCTCAATCATTGTCGATTGGGGGTTGATGGTTGAACGCCATTGATAGTCAATGGTCTAGCATCGAATCAGCTATCTTAGCAGACTAGCCCCGACGACTTACCATGCATCCCGGAAAGTGCTTCGGGAATAGTTTTCATGATATCTGCTTTTTCATATATCTTCCGATGTCTTCTTTTGTAGGCTTTATGGTAGCGATTTTTATATAAGGGAGGTGTCTCTCAGCCTCTCCCTGAACATGCAGCCTTCAATAAGAAAGGCACGGGTATTCGACGATTTATGAATAACGTCTTGCAGCGATTAAAGAAGTCCCAGCCGACGGCTTGGTAGATATTTGTTCAAGGTATCGATGTATATAAAAGCCCTTCCCCGAGGTTCGGAAGCTATCCTCAACACCTTCAGCACGTCAGGATGCGATACTGGACACCAGAGATTCCACTCCTCCTTTAAAGTAGTTGATTGATGTATTCTCGAATATCTGCTCCTCCTCTAAGTTTTTCCCAGAGGGAATCTGGAATGTTCGTCGTAGTCTGTTCCTTCCGGTCGAGGGGGCCGCAGAAAATACAGGTGAGCCAAAGTGTTTCCTCTAAGAATCTAGTCACACAAACCATCAGTCACCGCAGAGCTGCTCACACTTTTCTGCTTAGCCACATTCCATATTCCATATTCTAGATGAGAGCATTTCTTACCAGAGATATGTTTTTCCACTCCCGGGCCACCGGAACAAAACAAGGCGGGCTTGGGGGATCCGGATTCAGCATTGCGCCACTCTGGAAACTCCTCAGTATCTAAAGCCAATTCACAATTCGAGGCTTCTAGTCAGCTATCGGCGCTATCACCATTCACGCCACTACTGCTATTGGTAGTGCTATTATCGTTCAGGATCTAGGGAGTTTTTGGACTCGTTGTCTAGAGTGTTTTAATAGATGGGGGATATTGGAGGCGATGGGAATTAAGGTTAGTGATCCAAAGATATTTCGGGCAGAGGGAAGTATATGCTACGGTTCTCTGTAGCGGTGCCCTTAGGCACTCGAGTATTGTACCAGCCCTCCGGTTTAGTAGCCAATTCTGTCCCATACCAAGGAATTACCAACACACAAAACATCCCAGCCAGCCCAGATAGAAAATTGCCATACGAATATCTTGTTGTGCTGTATGGGACTGAGCTGCAACCTGATTCCTACGAATAATAGGTTGGGCTAAAGTTCCTGCATTCGGATAGCCAAGCACGGTGGATTTTCTACACTTAGGTATGGGTCGTTCCTTGCTATAGGACCCAACGCCGATATCTGGGTGGTAAATTGCACTTTGCTCTGAAGCATGGAAAGAGCTACGGGCCAAATCAATACATGCCGACTACATGAAGCCGAGCATGGCGAAATTGAGTAAAGACAGGTAATCTTTAGGAATTGGCGGGGGGGGAGGGTCTCGAGAGGTCATACCTCGACGATTGAAGAATTCTAAATCGAGTGAGCTCTCATGATTAGTACCTTTTGACAAACCATTCGTTCCAGTGCCGGGGGTTGAGGGTAAGTGAGACGGAGGGGTGCGATCGGTTCGTGGGGCACTTCAGCTAACTAGAGAGCAGTATATTGTTGGGTCACTACGGCAGGAGTAAGTGGCTGGTCCGACCTTTTTCCACATTCTAGGAAATGTCATGATTGGCCTTCGTCTGGTTAAACTCGCCAAATTATGGCAGGCGGGAACTGGGATAGCCTCACGTATGCTCGGTCCCTGCTTTAATACGATGCTATGTCTAGCTACTAGATCCATGCTCGCGAATTCGGACGGTTTTGGAAGAAACTTGTCACGAGTTATTAGACCGGGAGCATAGGAATATAGGAAGGCATTACCTTGCTTAGGAACCTAGACCCCATTGCAAACGAGCGCTAAATGAATAGAAGAAGTAATTAAAACCTCAAAATCCCCCCGACAGGATGGGGCCGCATGCTATTAATTCGGTGGTCTGGGATATCCCCCCTCTCGATTGTTGGACGGGCATCAACTGAGGTTTTCCTTTATTTTGTTAGTTTGCTCACACACACACACCCCTCCTAACGTATATCTTGAGGCCGTTTGACTCGTCATCGTTGGATGGCCGCCGTTTCAAAGGATGTTCGCGGGAAAACGCTTTGAGAAGAAGCTAACGGGCCTTGTGAACAACCCTCTGCCAGAAACTGCAGCGAATTTTTGATTGGGAATACCTTATTCCGAGTGGAAATTCGAAATGTAGAGGAAGGAGGTATTATAGATCCAATGAAGAGGCGGAGGGAAGCCAATAAAAAAACCAAAACTCCGCTGGCTGCCTCGGTCGACACAAGGTTACTCGTCCCGCTGTTGTGACTTGACCAACCAAGTTGTACCTGTACCAGTAAGTGGAAACGGAACCAGTAGCATGTTTTTCTGGTGGGCGCGGTAAAATATGCCGGAAGCAGAGCTAAAGTACGCACGAGAGTCACGGAAATACAATGTTTAGAGAAGATCGCGCGACGATATCGCGGCATGGGCCAGTATGATAATACTCCTGCACCGCGTATTCCACAGTCCACACCGTAGCGGTGCGATTCCATTCATCGCTGACAAATTACGAGAGAAGGATCAAGTCGAATTTTCCCGTGCTTGTGTGGACCGCGAGTGACCCATCGCGGCTTAGTGTGACAGTGAGGAGGGAACCGTCTTCCGTCGCAAAAAACTTAATCCGATCCGATCCAACCCCTATCATAAGCCCAATCAGTTTCGGACGGCACACCCCACGAATTTCGGGCCGCTACAATCATTTCCAACCTACAATAATCACAAGCAGAACGTATTGGGACGCTGTGCCAGATTTTGGGAGGCGAAGGTGTCCGAATACTTGCTCCATTGTTTGACCAACGTTCCTGACCCCCCCTCGTGCTTGATTCTACCAACCAACAGACAAAGTCGTCACACCTGGGGAGGGCAATGTTTCGTTCAGGTGTGTCAGCAGGAAGACCTTCTCGATAGTGGATGTTGGTCTTTTCGGCCGCCGAGGGCGTGAGGAGCGATCAAATATCACGTTGCGGAAATTACTGCCGTGCGCTAGTACCGACCTACAGGAAGAGAGAAGCGAAGAAGTTGTTTTCGAGCTCAAGTTTATGGTAGGGTAATGCGTCTGTGGGGTGCGCTAGGAGCAAGTTGCCACGGCAGGGAGCAGATAAACATGAGACGAACCATTCTTTCCACGTACAGGTTCACCATAGGACCGGTCAATATACAAATGATAAATGAACCGACTCACTTAAAAGAGGAGCGGAAGAATAAAGTGTTTTGTCCACACACACGAGTGCCCGACCCTTTTTTAAAGTCCCCGGAACATGAGCCTCGTGTCAGCAGGACCGCATTATCTATTGCTCGTGAAGGCGTCCGCTGTGCAATATCTGAGCGATGGAGGAAAAGAAGCACAATCTCACCCCCATATACAAACAAGCACCCATATAGTGGAATAACTGCCGGAGGCCAAAGGCCAAAGGAAAAATAATATAAGGATAAAAACAATATTCTTTCACCAGACTAATAAGAATAATATCCGCGTTGCCCGAGGTTCAAGCTTGAATCAGAAAAATAAAAGGTATTATCCTCATAAAATAAATGGCTATACAGTGCAACAATCATTCAGGTAGGAGAAATGGGAAGGGGAAGAATGGAGAAATCTAAGAATAAGGGCCTGTTTGGCATGGAATAAAGATGGTGCCGTTCTGTAATTTTTCGGCGCTTTTGTTGCAAATGAAATCTCCTGATGCCTCACACCCACCGGTATCCCAATGATATTCGCTCAACGAAAATAAAAAAGGAAAGAAGGAAAGAAAACAATGGAGAGGAAAAGAATAGGGAATTAAAAAAGTAAAATAAGGGAATAGAGGGAAAGAATGGAAAACAAAAGAAAGGGAGAAGAAAAGGAAAGGAAAGAAAGAAGAAAGGAAAACGTGTACACTGGATAATAAGAAACACACTTGCATCCACTTGGGGTCGGTTCTCGGAGCCGGAAGCACAGGAAAAGAGGCGTTCTGCTCACAAAAAACTGGCTATACGGCAGAACAATCGATCAAGGAAACAGAAAAATATGGTTAAAAATGAAATAGAGAAAGACCGGGCCTCTTTGGGGGAAATTTTTTTGGAAGAGTTGTTTCATCCACATCCTACTTGTACTCACACTCCCGCCGCTCATTGCCAAGCACAGCAAGAATTAAGATATCTGCGTATGAATGTATCGACTTCTCCGCCGGAGGCTCGAGCATAGCAAGAATCAAGGTATCTGCTTGGTGGCCAATGAACTGCTTCTCTTGGCGCTCGAGCATTCTGACCATCTCTCTCGTTCTACGATGGGACTGAGTAGCAATGGCAAGTGAGGATGGGCCCTTGTGGGGCGCCCTCTTCACTTTTGCCACTTTCTCTCGAGGAGTCTTTTTTGGGGAGCGGGTTTTTTGGGGCGGGGTTCTTTTCTTTGAGCAGCGGCTCTTTTTCTGAGCAGCGCCCAAGGTGGCAGAAGTCGCTGGGCTCGATGAAGTAGAATCGGCGCTATCGGCAAAACTGACTTTCTCAGCGGGATTCTCAGAGGGAGTCGCCATTCTTGTCTTTTTTTTGTCATTTTCTATTAGCTCTCCACTTTTTATGCGCGCTTATAAACGGGACAAAGCAGACGGGATTGGGGGAGTTGGGGATGGCGGGATATGATATACCTCAAGGCGGTTCTCACGAGGGCAAAGTATTTGAGATAGAGGAGGATATGTTTTTGATAGCGAAGAAACTGAAGGTGTGGAGGAGGATATGGGTTCGATTGAGAGGAAAATCGAGGATGTGGGGGAGAGGGGGGGGGTGGGGAGGTTTATTATGTATTGTGGGGGGGCGATGAGAGAAGCAGTACTAGTGACAGCTTGAGTTGGGACCAAAGTTTATTTTGGGCTCCGAAGGCTTACCAGAGAACGCTGCGATGGCCATTGAATGCCCCATAAAACAAATAACTTAGAGCCGAGCGATAGGCAACACGTGCATTAATAGGTATTGTACAAAAAAACGAATTGGATAACATGTATTTCACCGTTTTTCAGATATCCGAAACGAAAACCTCTAGGAAAGCCACGGCCTTCCGTCTATCCTCGGCCGTTTTGTTTCCCCCCTTCTTCTGAATGATCGCTTCAGCAAATACTTCGAGTGTTGTATGCTTGACAATCGCGCCTCTCGCAGCCCTCAATCTTCCAAAGGGTAGTACGCCTTTGATCGGTGATAGAGGGCTTGTGATACCATCCGTGTCCTTTGGTGGTGACTGAGAAGGTAGGGGCGATGATAAGAGAGAAATGATTTCCATTATGAAGCCTGTGAGGTATACAAACACATTTGCATGGACCGGTGAGAGTGATGTGAACAATTTATCCAGAACCTATAATCAAACACATGCGTAAGTGTAAAGCACATCACATCTCAGAGGTGTCTCATTTCTATTCACACCTGTTCCGCCAGCTTTTTGTCCGCGCCAGCTTTGTATACGTCAGGCCATATATCCTGGGGAACAACACCTTCCCTGAGGTTTCGGAGCCACTGAAGCAACACTCCAGCCACAGCCTCCACAACTTCCATTACCTCGAGGGGTTTCTCGTCATCTTCACCGAATGAGAAAGTGAGTGTTGCGTCGTCGTCAAGCTCCAGATCCTTATCCACGCATTCCCAAACACCAACAGCGAGGTTCTCCCTCTTTCCCCCACCGACCGCCCAGGTACCGTCGAGGAAGGGCCAGCCAGGCTCAGAGCTCCATCTCCCCTCCTCCTTTACTATCTCTCTCAGATGCTTGAGCAGATATTCCGTCATCTTATAGAGCTCCCTTGGCGCCGAATATAAGACCTCTCTTTTATCCCCTACATTCTCTTCCTTCCACCCTCTGATCCCGCCAGCTCCCTCGGGGATCCTAACAAGTTCCTTTAATCCCCTCCCGAAGCCACTCTGTAACCATTCTCCCTCGATAGGTACAAATACGTCTCTCCCTTCCACGATCCTGAGCACAAGGACATCCGCGATCGTTTCCTTTCCCTCATTTAACGATCTTACGTGCTCGGGCTTATGGACGGACACGGTGAGCACAACATTGCATACCTCCCCGGGCTGCAACTCCATCCCTCCCTCGCCTTTGATCTCAGCCTCCCCTCCATAAAACTGGACATTCAACCACCCTTTTGCAATCACCTCCTTGCCCTCTTCTCCGTCGGGGGACGGTCTCCCCACGAACTTAATCTTCGCCCCTGCAGTTCCAGTGTTTGCTAGTGTCACACTCCGTCTCTTGATCTGATTGTATCGGACCTCTCCAAAGCCGACAACCCCCTCCTCATATTCCTCACCATCAACTTGGTCAACCACAATAGTCACGACAGGCCTCCTTTCGTTTTCCATCTTATCGACTTCTCTTGTAACCTCCGCGTGAACTTTAGCTTTCATTTCCGGCACTACTGATGGAAACCATATCTCGAACATCGAAACGACAGGCTTGTGATCTGATGACGTGACATTTTGGCATGAAGTATAATATAACTGTCGCAGGCCAATTTCTCCAGAAGGGAACCTGAAAACAGAAGTTGGTGCTTTAGCCTCCGGAACCGAGGAGACATGTGGTACCACACTATCAGCCCTTGATACCACAATATCCTCTTCGTCCGAATCTTCTGTTTCGAAGAGAACCTCGTCTTTTAATATACTCATTCCCCTCGATCTTGCTCGCCCTCTCCTAGCCTCCTGAGCTTCCGCGCCTTTAACTTTCCAGAGTATTCTATCGCACCAGCTTGGAGCTCGGGCTTTCACACTAGAATCCCATCTCCCTACAGTGCCAATGTCATACTTGTAGCTGGGGAGAAATTTGATTTTCCCCTCGCGGAAACCTACAAAAGCCTTAGCCTCCTTCTGTTGTTTGTAGAGCTGATCATGGCTTAGCAAGCTGCCGATTGTCCCTTCCAGGGTCGGCACCGCTTCTGGGTGGATCTCGCTCGGTGGGGGTGGCAGCGGTGGCTCCTCAAATTCCCTCGGGACTTGGTCCATAGGAGACGCAGATGTAGATGGGCCATCCGCGTGTGTCGGTGGGAGGTCCTTGGGCATATAGGAGGACAACAAACTCCTTATATCCTCGTTCTGGAGTTCAATACGATAGTTGAGATCCCCACACCATAACAGGATATCAGCATCACCAATGCCTTCAACGGTATTTCCACTGTCGTTGCCCGGATCCCCCCCCTCTCCCTTATCAAAGCCAACAAAACTATGCTCAACCGGATCGAAGCTCATTCGTTCCGATATCTCCCCCGCGTCCCAGTTTCTCCGCTCCGTATTGTCCGTAAAGGCTGCGAGATGGCAGTCCACAAGCACCAACCTTAATGTTTCGCCGATAACTAGCCTAACTCCTACACCCCCCTTGTTACCCATGAATCCTGTAGCTCGAACGCCCACTCCGGTCCCTACTACAGCTGCCGAGACCGAAGTGACAAGGGGGGATAGGTCTGGCGATACGAAGACCATAAGTAACAAGCCAATGAGCTGTTTCGAAGCTCTGCAGATATAGCCAGCTGGTAGCGCAGCCTAAAAAATAAGAATAAAAATAAAAAAATACACACTGTTACTTCGCCATCAACTGCGAGACAAATTCCCATAGCACACACACAATCAAAATAGCATACCTGAGCATGAGCTTCCCATTTCAGAGAAATCCTAGGATCCATATACTTCATAAAATTCTCTGAAACTGTGACGTCGACAACTTCCTGCAACGCCAAGACATAGATCCCGACCCCATTGCCATCGCCATCCCCTTCGGATTCGAAATCTTTCCGATGATCAAGAAACCACTCTTCCAGATCCCTTTCGGCTCCATCACACGCAGCAACATTCCAACTTGCTACCTTTATCCTTATCTTCTTTTGCCGAAGGTATTCGTTACGTCGGGAGAGAATCTGCGCGCTAAGGTAGGTATGAATGTCCTGCTGATGGGGATACGCGGATGGACTTGGTAGCTCGAAACCAGCGGCACCCGATGGCACAGTAATAATTGACATCTTCCCCCTCACTCCCCGAGACCTGTAGGGTTAAGCAGGTGTCTTCGGCGCTCAAAAACCCGCTCGTGTCGTCTCTGATCGTCAAAGTAAACCTTTGCGGCCGATTTACCAGTATCGTCTCGTCACCTAGCTATTGTGATTAACCTAGCCGAAAAAGAAAAAAAAATTATCTCCTTCGTCCTCCCCCCATGCAGTCCCCCCCACCCGAACGATCGACTGTTGGTGAGTGTAGGTTTCGGGAAACAGTTATGTATCAAAAGAAGAGCAAACAGATGGCTTTCTGATCATCGAGATTTCGCGCCTTTCAAGCGTCCCCGGTGGTCATTCCCCTCGGCTGACGGGTGGCGCACCAAGTCTCGGGTAGAAATGCTCAAAAAGAGCTTTGGGGCAGGTGTGTTTACCCCATGCAATGTTTTTTGAGCCCTAATGTGTTAGGTAGGGCTCTGATTGAAGCCAAAGGGGCAACAGGGGGGGGCTAGTCGTATGTATCACAACAGCTCCACCATGTTCACGCTTATGACCAAAAGCGCCATGGATATTGTCTTGGAAATGCTATTCATGCTCAGTCACTCGGATATCTAGAGAGTTGTGTTTTGCAAAAAAAAAAAAAAGAAAGGACAGCCCGGGAAACGGATCCCCCTGATGAAACTAGGGGAAAGAGAGCCTTGAAGGCTTCGACGAGAGAAAAAAAAGGTGGGAGAATACTACTTGAATTCTGCGATTGAGGCTTATTTGTGAATAGCACTTTTCAGCTATCTGAACTCGCTCTTCGATTGACCAACGCTATGCAAAGACGACTGCCGGTATATAACATGAATAACGCATCGTCACGCAAACCCCCAAAGCTTCTATAGAGCAGAAGATACCCGGAACCCACCCGCTACACTCAACTCGCCAGTACAGCCTCGTTCGCAAAGTTCCCGCAGATGGAAGGCTACCGTGGAGGTGTCTTGGCGGCAACCAAAGTATGATATCAGCACGAAATATTGCCATGTACGCGAGGTCTGAATTTTGTATGATATTAACAATAACATCCCTATTTGAAGTCTCTGGAGGTCTACCATAAATATCATACAAGCAAATTTTTCTGCTACTACTATCATACCTCAAGTTGATGGGGAAATCTGGTGCGCCGCTTAATTTGGACAGCAAATATTTGGCGACTCAATGTACCAGTACTTCCGTACCCACCAACACCATGTCATGGTACCTTTCCATTCGCGGGAACTTTCCATTCGCGGGAACTTTGCGGCCGGGACTGTACCGGTATTGGGGAAAAGAAAATATGCAGGTCCGCTCCGGCAAGTCAAAGTACTGGTATCATATCATACTCGTACCCACAGCTTGCACCTCATCCCCCAAAGCATTGCGGGGAGAGCAAGAACGGGACCTTAGGCCACTCCCTCCCCTCCCCTCCCTCCTCAACACCGGCACACAGCCCGTAAGTTCTAGAAGAAGGCTTTATCATAAAAAAACCCTCAGCCAGTTTCTTTTCTACAGTAGCCTTCACATCACATCCCATCCCACCTCATCCCACCCCACATAGTCTCAGCCTGAATCAACGAGCATCGAGAATAACAAAAACCCCTCAAAGGCCCACTCCCTCATCATCCCCCACGACCATAAATAGCCGCAACCGTACCCGGCGGTGCTACGGATGGCATGTCGAGACCCACCTACCTATCTACCGGTATAATACTCGAGTATTCCAATATTCGCCGGGGGGATTGGAATGGGAATGGAAATGGGAATGGGAAAGCCTGGCTCAAATGAACCGAACCGAAACCGAAACCGAGCCAGGTACTCACTTTTGTTAATGATGTGATTGGAATCCTACGGTAGAGAGCAGAATAGACTATGTATCTCCATATTCGTCATCCGTTTCCGGCATCATATTATCATGATACGAGTACTGTACATCATACCAGGGAGGCATTTTTCTCCATGCAGGAACAAGATAGTAGGACGAGGGATTATTTTGCTGGCCAAGCAGAGCACATCTATCCTTTTTTTAAACTTTCCCCCCGAAAACATCTCACCGTGTGCTTATGCCCAGAATATAATAACCATTCCATTCCATTATTTCGAAATTTGGGATATGGTTCGGGTGTGGCAGTCTCGTGATGGATGTTTCCAACACCATCCTACAAGGTATTGTCATGTCGGTACGAGTAAGGGCTCCGGGAATAAGCGGTCGTTTGGTACATTAAGAAGCAAAAACAAAAAAAGCACCGAAATTTCCTGGTTTCGGAGCGCGCGTATGTCCACGGATGTGTTAAAAATAAAAATGGAAAAAAAATATGATAGCGTGCTCGAGGTGTGTACTGTAATGATATATATATTTATCTCAAGCCTTTGTACACCCGAGTATCACGCTGTGGAGTTTGTATGGAACTGTGGGCACATGACCTATGTGAGGTCCGTTGCGACGTATCATAGTCTACGTTTTTCCTTGTTGTTATACAGGAACTCCAGTCTTGAGTTGTATACCTTGAAGGACACTTCACCACTGGTATGAGAATGGAAGGTGAAAAGGGAAATGATAGGCAATGTACTTAGGTACTGCTGTGTCAAACCACCCCTCTTTTTCTTTTCTACGCTATCCCCACCCATGCTGGTCTGGTAATGATACCCGAAGAACCTTTGATTTCGTGAGTGTTTTGGCCTCCACCTTGCCAGCCTACCAAACAACCTGCACAATAGTCTGTCGCTCGTCATTAGTATTAGCCTACCTTGGCAGTCCAAAGATCTCAGACGACACCGAAAGAAAAAAAAGAAAGAAAAAAAGAAGAAAAAAAAAAGCTACAAGGTCTGCACATGGCTTGTACGAGGCTGGCGCCATAAATGGTGAGCAGTGCAAGGGTTTTCCACCGAAAATAGCCATATTCATGACCTTCCAACCACTGATTTAGTCAAGAAACCCAAACTAAATCTTCATCTCTATCTAAAACAATTCCCTGGATTTTACTTTCCAACCTTTTAGAACTCTCTATCTAAAGTAGTTGAGGAATTATCAAGAGAGCTATGGTTGGTACATTGGTCTTGGCGCAATTTTTGGTAATTTTGTATGGAAAATGGCAAGGCTTGGCACTGTTTTCAGCTTCAACCACAGAATATTGCATCCCAAACTAGCTAAAAATTCTTTAATAATCCATGAGCACTTAGGGAGATATTTGAAAGAATTTTGAACCATATTATTAATTTTTCAATTTTTTTTTACAACTCCAGAATGTATTGAATGGAATGTGTGAACTCGCATGGTTTGGGTTGTTGCATGCCATTTTGCTCATCATTCTTGTCACCAGCCTCGCACAAGTACCTAGCAAGATACCAGCACGAGCGACCAAAACACGATATCTCCCCGCATTATCACACCAGCGGCCCGACCACCACCACCACCACCACCATTCTCACTGCTCAGTTCTCAGTGAAGGGGCAGGACACGGGGCTACGATACCTTAAACCTCGATAAGAAATACCGGTACACCGTGCCTATCATACCATAACGTTACCTGCCACGCCATACGGAAAAAGGATTGAATCATCAGGCTATCACAGGCGTGAGCGAGAGATCGTACCATACTCGTAGAACACGAGCCTTCTTATCATTCCTTCGCCCCTCGCCTTCTCTCGCCCACCCCTTACCTACCGGTACTGCACTGTACTACACATCCCCTCGCCAGGACCCTTACGTTCTTTAGTCTATGACAGTCTTTTCTTCTGCACACCCTCGTCTTACGAATTGTGGCTGAGCTAAATTCAAAGGCGAGATAACCATCATCGTAGTGTGAGAGTGGGGTTCTTCCAACGAGGTTCTGGAAGATTGTAGATTTATCGGGTGCGGGCGGCGCCTGGGGGATTTTTGTTTAAGGCTAGTGTATGATACTACCGCATGCACGGAGACATTCTCTTTCTTTCCTTCTTTCTTGGTGGGGGGGGGAGGTTGTGTGTGGTATGAGTGATGGTTTTGGAACGTTACGGTGGACTAACTTACTTCATTTTGTCAATTCTTGATTGGCACATAGTCTAGACTACGCTATCATACCGTACTCTACAGTACAGTACCGGAACCGGCGGGCTCTCGGGGTGTTTCATGTAAGGGATTTGATCGTGATCGAGTATTATAGTTCAGTGCCCCTATCATACCCAGTTGGTAGCATACGATAGGAATATAATCGCGGGGTATTGTGGCGAATGGCATGATATGCTCGGAACCCCGGTATCATAGACTAGGTATTACGATAGGAGTGCGATACCGGCACCGGTATGCTCTCCCGTACCGTACGATATATGCACAGCACAGTCCTCGAGTACTGTACAAGCAGAATCCGGGGAATACTACCGTAGTATAGCACAAGTACGGGTAGGAGGCCCCATACCCCACACCCCCTTTCAAAAACTAACGATGATACAGATACGGTACGGCACCATACTCAAGGAGATATGATAGTCTACAAGTTAATAGAAAGAACTCACGCAGGAAGATTGTGCAAGTACAGCACCGGAACTCCAATACCGGTACAGTAAGCCCCTGAATAAGTTAAGCATACTCGCACTTGTGCTAGCATAATGAGCAAGGTATCTTGCATAATTTATCATACACTGATGCTGTACGAGTACTATAATAGTACAGTACAGTACAACCCGGGCCATACCACAAGATACAAACAAATAAACAAATAAACAAAACAAAAACAAAAAAAGAAACCCCCAAAATCCCAACACAAAGTATCTCGTATGATTCGAGTCCAGTCAACCTTCCTTCCTTCTCCCCGCCTTGTACTCGTAGAGTACAAAAATAAAAATAAAAAAGCCCAGAACCCTAAAAACGTCACCCAACAAAAAAAAAAGGAGAAAAAAAAAAAAAAACCCCCCCCCACAATCACAATCACACGACCATATCATAGCACCATAGCCTACCGACAAACCCCCCCCCCCCCTTCCGCGGAGTGGGGAAAGAGAATAAAGTGGCGCAACATACCGTACCTACTTGCCCGAAAACAAAAAACTCCCGCAATCCGGGAACCGTAGCCTACTAATTCGACACCGAGTTATGATATGATATGATATGATATGGTGTGGTAGGATACGGTTAGTCTACGGTAGTCTGGTCTACTATGTGTACTCGAGTACTCGTACTTACTACTTCCCGGCCAGGCGGCCACCGGGGAAGCTGTGATACTTGTAACATAATAAGTACTCGTACAGTACCGTATGCTGTTCGTGGGGTTGTTACCAGCAGTCTACTCGTACTTATAATGTGCTATGAGTGCATTCAATTGATCCTGTGGACCAATAGGAAACGGTGAAGGGTTTGATAATGATAGGTGGTCACTTTTTTTGTTTGTTTTTTTCCTTGTTTTTTTCCCTCTTTTTGTTTTGCTTTGTTTTGTTTTGTTTTGGTCACTATACTCGAGTACTAGTGACTACCGGTAGGCTAGGTTGATGCAAACGGAGGCGGGAGCGTCTCCGTTTCCTTGGGGAGATTATGGTGAGCCAAGTCGCTTACTCGAGCATGGTGGCTGGTGGTTCGATCGCTTTAAACATTCAGGGGGCCAATGGCCAAGGCCATAACAAAAAGCCGACCCAGGAGGAAGAGGACAAGTGGAAAGTTTAGCTCCAGGGGCTAGAATGTTAATAAGATAACTTACGAATACCTGTAGCCCGATCGAGTAAGCTGTTGTGATAGGTGAAACAGAATTGCTGTCAAATTTCCGATATGAAAAATCAACACACTACGGTAGGCTTGTTGGGTAAAATATCAATTGTTTGAAGAGAATAAAAATCTCTCACATTTATATTGCCTCTCCAGACTCTTTTTTTTCTTCTCCAAAGACCAGTTGAATGGCAAAGAGATGAAGCTCTTTCCAACGGCAAGCCAGCTTCAGACGGGTACAAAAAAAGAGGATCGAAAAAACCCGCAGCTATAGACAGATAGAGAAGAGAAAAACCCAGCACAACACACCAGATCTATGCTACTCCACTTTGCCATGCCTCGACAATAAAAACTTGCCTCTCCAATCTGAAAAAAAAAAAAAAAAAAAAAACTAGCCACCGCGCACCCCCGCCCCTTCAACTAAAACTCCATCGTGAGAAGCAAAAAAAGATGCTACATGAAGTATACCTCCGAAACCCCCGAGTAAAAAGTTAGAAAGCAACCAAGAATCAACCGCCAACAAAGAAGCAAGTATCCGAATAATAACACAAATCTTCACCGAACCTAGTTGAAGATAAAAGTGAGATCGAAAAGCCACAAAAACACCAACCCCATACAAACCCCCAAGTCTGTCCCAACCGTACAAAGTCTTTTTTCGTTAATTTTTGTCATAGAATGCAAGGGAAGGAAAGGAAAGGAAAGGAAAGGGTATGAAAGTGAAACACCATCGTCATCCAGAGCCACCCAAAGCCGGAAAAAAAGTCAACACCACCCAAGGGAGAAAGAAAAAAGGCAAACCCCCAAAATACCAACAGATGAAGTCGAAGGGAAGGAACATAAAAAAGAAGGGCTAAAAAGAGTAGAGTTGCGCAAATGCGAGGTAGATCGACACAAGGAAACGGGGAGGGAATAGACAGCGAAAAGGGTAAAAAGTATACAGAAAACGGAATGGTAAAAATATATGCAAGAAAACCCGTATATAAGGTCAGGGTATTTCGAATATGTCGGGAGCAAATCCCAATAGTTACAAAATGTTTGTCAACCCGACATAAACCCCACAACCACAGGTTAGACAAACAGAAAAAAAAAAAAAAAAAAACTCTTACTCAAGCAGGAATGCTCTAACACCTTCGCTCACGGTTATCATGTCCCACCATAATGCCTGGTATCAAAAAATAATAATAAACGCAGCAGAAATTGATCCAGCCCAATGGCAGACTCGTGAACTCAATATCACTAAGGTGAAAGGAAGAAATCAGACCGCCAAATCTTCCCACCCCCCTCCGACCCACTCAACATCGTACCCATCGTCATCAGCGTACCCATGGTCGGATTCGTAACTCCAGCTTCTACGCTTGAGCTCCTTTTCCCTTTCAGCACGCTCACGCTCTTCTTCCTCCTCGTCTTCAATGACCCAATCACTCCAGGACTTAGAGACGGACCCGATGTGTTGTTGAAAGTGCATACCAAAAGCATTCGCCTCCTCGGTAACGAGAGATGCCTTGATTGGAATCTTTTCGATTTGCGGCCTGAAATGATCTTCAATGGTGAAAGAAGCACCAAGACCGGAGTCGAGTGATGGAGTAACAGGAACATAATAGCCCATATCCTTTGCATAACGATCAGGGTCGTTAGCAAACATACCCTCGCTGTAAATGGTCGGCTCCTCCTGATCGTGAATGACAGAAAGTTGGCGGGGCTGGGGTGTCATGTGAAGGGCCTGTGCCCACGGGAAAGAGCCACCCTGGGCAATCTGAGGGCTCTGGACAGATGGTGTGCGAAGAGGTTCGCGGTTGGCAGGGGCAGGGACGACTTCTCTGTCCTCAGAGCAGAAGTCATCATCCAAACCCTCTTCATCAGTGGTCCAATACACGACTCGCTCAATGGCGTCACGAACCCCAGCAAGTGAGCGCTTGTTAGGGTCGAGGGCTAGACAATAAGAAAGGACGTCATAGGTATCATATGACAAGGTCGGAAAGATGTCGAAAAGGGACTCCCTGTCCAAAACATAATCGGCAAACAGAGGGTCACCTTCTGCGGGCACAACAAACGGATTGCGAGCAAAGAGAACATTCAAAAGACAGATTCCTACAGCCCAGACATCCGCTTTCTCAGGCGAATATCCACCAACCGAGTCATACTGTTCCGGTGCCATGTAACGGTCGCTTCCGACAGCTGACTCATCAGTCCACTCATCCATGGTTGCCAAACCGAAATCACCAAGCTTCATCAGCCCAGATTGGCTCAAGAAGATATTCTCAGGCTTAAGATCGCGATGGTAGACACCCCTGAAATGCATGTGCTCCACAGCAGCCACCAGCTGCAACATGAAGTCCCTGACATGTTCGGTCTCCAAGGGGCCACGCCCAAGACGGATGGCCTCATAGAGATCACCATTAGGACAATATTCAAGCACGAGAAACATATGACTTTCAGTCTCAAAGGAATGAATCAGGTTGACGATGTTTGGATGGTTGCCGACTCGGGAATGGAACTCGTACTCCTGAGAAAGCTCATCAATAGCAAACTCAGTGGTTGCTGCTGCTTCCGAGTTGGGTTTAGTAAGGCACTTGATGGCGACCATCTCTCCAGACTGGGTGTCCTTGGCCAAGGAGACCATTCCGAATGAGCCATGATTGAGGAGTCTAACCGACTTGAAACGCCTAGTTATCCAAGCCATCGTCAGCACGACTCCTCAACAGTGGCCCAAACAAACAAACAAACAATACATACCCATCAAGAAGGACACCCTCCTGGAACGAATTTCTCATGCACTCCATCGGGAATTCGGCTAGGTTGATTGGATTTGAGGGGCGAGTGGTAATTGGCTTGTTGTTTTAAGGATTAAAGTATAGATGAATGCAGTATAGTAGTAGTAGTAATAGGTTTTTAGGGCTCGAAGGTCGATCGAGTCTGCGCAGAAATCCAGAACAGTCTATTGGCGGATTGAGGAAATCGCTTTTTTGGTCATACACACGGGTGGAATGTTCCTCGCTGAGGTACCAAACCTGGGGATTTAGAGAACGAGATTCTCTAGGCCTGAGACAGATACTCAGATCTGATTGAATAGTGGGGATGGTGAGGAGTTTGTGTTGGGTTGTAGGATCAAGAACGAAAGGAAATCACAATGTTTAGACCGGTAACTTCAGACGCATATAGGCGAGTACGTTCCTGGGTTTGAGAAGAGAAGTCCGAAAAGGGACGTCGTGGGCAGTTGCCGTGTGGGTTTGAGAAGGAAAAGAAAAGAGTGAAAACTTATGAACGCATGAGAAATGTTGCTGTGAACTATATTGGATCCATTACTCAGTCAGTAATTATGCTCCAATATGCCTTTCCCTCTTCACTTTATCTTGAACCATTTTTCCTGCTGCCCCTGAGAAAACGTGCGTGTGTGTGCACATATATATATATATATATATCCACCTAAACACTCAAAGGGAGATTCGGAGGCATCAAGCCACGGTGAGACTTACGGATCGACGATAAGGAAACTCGTTCAGAGAAGAGCTCAGTTGAGCTCGAGGGAGGTAGCGAGCAGTAACTCCCCGAAACTGCGGTTCGAGAAGTGATTACAGAGAACGGATAACCAGGTGTTGGAAGCCGATGCCCTAGTGGAGAGAAGGAGCGGATTTAACCCTTGGTTATCGATTCTCCGTAGCACCGTTGGCTGTTTGTTCTAGAGGTTTGCGTGTCCAGGTTGCGGGGCCAGTTCGTAACAATGAGTCGGAGACGAGGAGCGAGTGATAAGCGGTGGTGGCAGTGGTGGTGGTGATTTCGGTTGAAGGGGGTGTGAGGGATCCGGTACTGCAATGGGAGATTGAATTATCAGGCTTAGCGAAGCTTTTCCCCGTGGGACACGTAGAAGAACGTCTCTAGCTTATGGATTGCAGTTTGATCGAACGAAGGTGTGAGTGGGGACGAGAGAGGATAGGGGAGGAAAGGGGAGAGAGAGAGGAAGAGAGAGAGAGAAGAGGAGGAACCCCCAGGGGAAACGACTCAACAGCTTGGAACAGATCGCGGTATGGTGACAACGCAGGTTAGAGGAAACGACGATGAAGGAGAAGGTGGAAGAGATGAGAAGAAGGGGCAAAAAATGCTGATATATGGAGCTGGCAACCGGCGACTGGGCAAGTCAACCTACACGGGAGACTGGGGGGTGGGGTGGGAGGTGTGTGGATGGGATGGGTGGCTGTCTCGTTGCTTGCTTGAATTTCACCAGTATTCGCCCACTCACTTCCTCCTCCACCTAGGGACCACCAGCTCTGCCTGACCGGGAGCAAAAAAACCTGAAGGGGCGAGCGAGCGGCGTAACACAGCCCAGCCTAAGAAAGCTCCCCCACCACCACAAATTGGGCTCTCCGCAGCGAGAGATAGAAGGCTGCCCCCTTCCTTTACCTGTCCCTGTTTCCCCCTCTGCTCTCCATCCGGCTCGGGCTCCAGAACAGTACTGCCCGTTTCCTTCACGAATAGATTATTATCATTGTTACTACTATTCCGCTTGCCACAAGTCCTTGGAGCAGAAGTTCCGTATGTTATGGCTGGACATCCACCCATTCCGATTTTACCGTCAGCTACACCGCCAATGCGGCCAGAAGGAGTAGGGACATGGTCGACGAGTGTGTGTGATGGCACGTAGGATAGACCATGGGTGGAGGTTACGTGGTGATGCACTATCCCGTTTATCGCCTAGCGTCCCGCAATGCTACCACCCCATGATGTTAACAATGCAATAAGCAGCGAAACCACGAGAACAGTGGTGTGGGCCTCTCGCCTATGATAGGCCATCTATTTCGGAATGCTGGCAACCACCGCCGCTTCCGGGCATGATCATCACTTTGGCCCCACTGACGCGCCAGTTCTACGCGGACCAATCGTTTCCCCCTGGAAGATTCCCTCATACAAATGATGGAGTCCGAAGGTGTCTTGTCTGTCTGTCCGTCCGTATCTGCGTCCACACGACACTTTCCTTTTGAACTCCCTGGGCACCGTTTACCGTGCTGGTTCAAGCGGTGGCCTTCCGCCTCCCTCCTCCTCCTGAGTCTCCTCCTATCCATCTAGTTCCATCTGGTTCCGTCATGTGCGCCTGCCACCCCAAGCACCGCAGAAGCCATCATAATTCCAAGCCTACTCCGCTACTAGGGCGTGCGTACCCTTTGTACCGTATCGGCTGTAGCAATCCCCGTGAATAAGAAAATAAATCCAACCTCCCTCCTTCGAGATTCCCACCCATTTTCGGCGTTTTCGGACGGAACAGAAACAAACCCGTGGGTGATTCCCCCCCGAAACCACCGCGAACGCGTGGGCGTGCTTACAAGTACAGATTTCAAAGGCTCGTGGAACTACCGTTTCCAGAGTTTGGACCTCTCTTTGACAGGAAAAAAAAAAAAAAAGTGATGCGGTGTCGTCACGGCACGAAAACCCAACCGTAGTACCTGGCACGGGCCACACGAGAAACAAAGAGAAGGTGGAATTTCACACACCGTACCGGTGTCATAGAGTACGGTACCGTACCGTATCCTACTTGTTCGTACTACTTGTAGCATTCGTACAACCTCCTCTGGAGTTTGACATGACACTGTCATCCTGAGCGCAAACCGGAAAAACTCCGTCACGGTAAATTCATTATCTATACCAGTAACTTCGAGCCGCTATCACAATTATTAACACCACGACTATTATTTCTACTTGGGCACTGCTACAGTACACTCTATACCAAAACCATGGACGGATCTCTTCCGTGACATGGAAAAAGTAGCATGCCACTCGCCAGCCCGGAAATCGATAGGTAGAAATCCCGCCATATTTTCCCCCCCACCTGCCTCGCCTATCCGGTAGAATCCTACATGTATACTGTATATATTGCCCACGATGCAATCTGCTGCCGTAAGTGACATCGCAGTTTCGCCCTGGGAGTGTGGTTGTAACTTTAGGCAAATCTAAATTCTCTGAAGAGCAGTAGCTATAGGGAGCAAAAAATTTCCTCAAATTTGCGCCAAGACTATTGTCTTTGGTGGAAAAGTTGCATCTTGGCGAAATTTGAAATTTCAAAACCATACTACCCTTGCAAAGTTTGAGAATTGGGTGAAAGGTTGTAGTCTATATAGGAAATGGTGCCATTACTGTTTTCAACGGTTCTATCAAGAGTTTGTATTTCTGTGAATCTCCTCTGATGGAATATCTTGGTGCGTAATCTGCTATTTTTGCGGTAAAATGGCGCACGCCCACTCACTTACGGTATTGCACCCCACCTGTATTGTATTACTCGAGCGGCGGTAGCGTACTGTACCATACGGTACTGGTGCAGTTGAGGAATGTGGTGGTGGTGTTTATTTTTTCGCTCTGGGGTAATTTTTTGTTGAGGGCTTCGAGGCAGAATTAATATCTGAAACTCTGCATCCGGCATCATTTCACGCCTCCCTGGAAAAAGCATGCATGGTTGACACTGTATCGAGTTCAATTTGCGTGACGGTGCTGCCAATCGCGATCTGCCATTCCAAGCCCCCCCCCCCCCCCCTTCCAGTCCATTTTCTTCAGAGCCAGAGAAGTTGGCTCGACACTCCTGGAGCCGGCAGACCCCATCCTCCGCACGACGATCCCAGCACTGTACGCGTGTGATCAGTCACAAAAGGGTCCCAAAAACCAACCACTCCCTCGCAAATGGGAGAGCACCACAAAGTTTCGAGGCAAAGGGCAACCATTTGAGGCAAGAAAAGTGGGTAGGAAGGGTAAAAGTGAGGGAGGAAAGATAACACCGTGGCCTGATCAGGCAACTTGACCTTCCCAACATGTTAACCCACGTCCAAAAGGAGTGCCAGCAAGTGATCAAAAATTGTTAAACCGCAGAGGGATGCAGAAGGTTTCTGCAGTGAGGAATCTCACAGCATAATGCACGAGTACTTGTACCCTGCCGTACGGTACCGGTAACTGAGGAAAGGGGGAAGGGAAGCAGAGATAAAACGGTCCTGAGTGTGCCCGTAAGATACCGGTAGGTTACGATGGAAAAGTGCTCGTATGATACAAGTTTAGAAAAAAAAAGAAAAAGAAAAGAAAGAAGTGAAAGGAAAAAGCAAAACCCAATTTGCCGCTTTTCAACTTTATGATATTACACGAGAAAGGTTGGATCTCCAATGGTAGAACCCAATTCCCATCCTCATGTCATCCTCAGGCCGCTCTTTTCTTTCACAGCAAATCTCGTCAATCGGTCACAACGTCAACTGATTGGCTGCGACTCCTTCACGGCTCCCATCGACTTCATTTACCCACTCATCCAATCGCTCGCCCCTACCACCCCCTTTCCCCACAGTTTCACAAGGGGGCTTTTTTTTTTTCGCCTTCCTTTCTTCTTTTTCTCCCTCCGGGCACGCATGGATGTGAAGGGTTTCGCTTACTCAGGACCGCTGACGGGTCTTGGCTCACATACCTTGTGTCGCGAACAACCACTTTCTTTCCCTTCCTTCGAACAAAAATATCATACGGTGCCGTGCTGTAATCGTTTTTTCCCCTTCTTCCCCCCCCCCCAAATGCTGGCGGTGGTGGAGAGATAAGCTGATTGGTTTGTTTGCTTGGCCCTAGCTCATGAGTGCGCGGTAAATCCCCCGACCGACCGATGAGATTCCTGGGGAAACACTAACCTCGTACAGTACTGTACATTAGACTATGGTATTACTCGCACTGCAACCCCAAGCTATGAATAAGTTAAAGTTGTGTGTGTGCTGGACAACAAAAACCGTTTACCGGTATGTGCGAGTACGGTGAGCAAACACCTGAAGAGCCAAAAAGAGAGTTGTATGATATGTTATTTTCTCTCCTACGAGTAGAAGGCTAGGTTTATAAAAAAAGGTACCAGATCCCAGGTTCTGTCCATAAGTTCCCAGTGCGTGAGTTCCCATGATACTTTTTATATACATGCATATCACTTGTACCATACAAATAACTTTTCTGCAGGCTAAAAGTGATGGCCCCTCCTCCTCCTCCTCCTCCTCCTCCTTCCTCAATTCAGGGGACAAGATCAACAGTAACGGTGGTTGTAGTCTACCTGTACTAGCACTCGCTCGATTGGAGTACCGGTACCGGTAGAGCGGCAGTTGAAACATTCCTTCTTTCTTCATATCCCCATGATCACACCGGTAGCATCTCCTGGAGATAGAGTACTCGGGTACAGTACAGTACTCGTTCGGGTGCTGCTCTGTGCCGTATTCCCAGAAGAGGATAGAGGTTTATTTATTTGGCACCGCGACAGAAATACCCAATTTCAATGGACCGATTGACAACCTTTTCCCCTCTCAATATATATATTTTTCCCTCCCTCAATCCACCCTGAACTGTTTGATCGTCACGCGTGTCGCCCTACTCGAGTATCTACCGTTACTCGAGCACCGCACGGGTGCTCGTAACCTCCTTTCCCCCTCCCTCCCTGCCTCCCTGCGTTTTAGAGTAACAAGGTTGGAAGCACGCAGGCGGCCATCGCCCAGGCGAGGCGAGGCGAGGCCAGGCTGGGGCAAAACCCGGACGATCTCAAATCGTTCACAAATCTACGATTACATACGGTACCGGTAGGCAGACTCTGCTTCAATCGTTTCGAGGTTGGATAACTGGAGCCTAGTCTAAGTGTGCACGTTTTTTTTTCTTTTCTTCTTTCTCCCTCCAAATTTCGGAGAATGATACTCTCAAGGAGGATGAAATTCCGATGAATGAGCTTATTCCGCCGGGGTGTTCGAGATGGGGACCGAGAGGTTGTGGTATGCTGTAGCACCCAGCACAGCACAGCACAACATAGCGCCGCACCATCCTCCTCCCCCTATCATACTGTACTCGTACGGTGCCGGTACTTCCAACCCCCATCTATGATCAAGGTCAAACTTTCCCGTGCCCCCCCTGCCCCTGCTATCTCTCCTCCGCCCCCGTTCCTTCTCGCTGGCTCGCATCCTTATCCGTTCTTCCGCTATCGTGTCGTAGGTACCTACAGTGGTCCTGCACTGCACTACAATACTTGTACTCGAGTACTCGAGTACAGTACCATTCTCCTACCGACTCGTTGCTCATCACACCATCGCCTGTCGCTATCGGAGGGGGTTGGACAGTGCGGTACCGGTACTTGTGAACCCGGGCTACCCTACTGTGCCCCCCCTCAAGCTCTAGCTTCGGAAAGTATTGCCAGCAACGGAAAGCCCCGTTGCCATCCCTTCCTTCGTTCGCAAAATGTCCGCTTCTGGGGTTGTTCTGGAACGTAGACAACGAGTACTCGAGTACCGGTCTCATACTCGAGCATTCAAGTTCGCAACCCGACCAAGTATGGTACCGGCACGATAGGATAGTCTACCGTACGCCACCGGCATGGCAGTCTCACAAGAGAGACATCCGCGAGGTCACCAGTTCCACTTTCCTTTCTTCTTTCCTTCCTTCTTCCTTCCTCTATTGTATTTGCGCCCACCACACACACCATCTATCCCCTCCCATCCCTCCAATTCATTCATCCGCCCTTTGTCACAACAGGTTCCCGGCTCATGACGCAATAACTCGTTTTCTGCTTTCCACAAGTATCGTGCTCGTCCCGGTTTGGGGATAGTCTATCCTTTCTGTCTTCTACTCGTACTACAGTACCGTACGTACTCGAGTACCAACATCGATACCGGTATGGCTGTTGTATCGCGCGCGTAGCGGTACGAGTACCGCACCGACTCTCATGGTAGGATTGGTCAAGTTATCGCAAGGGGTGAATGGCGTGTACCACTCTTCCCCAGGCACACGATACGGTGAGTTCACAATCCAATTACCGGTAAATTTATTATTATTTCCCCCCTCTTATCCCTTCCTCACACACTCCCCCCCCCCGTCTGCAGTGAAATAAAGGTAAAAATAAAATACGGTACCGGGACTACAGGACCAACCAACGGCCTTCCTCTGTTCCTCTATCCATCCCCACGTCTAACCGCTCCCTTCGAGCCGGGAAGGGAAGGAAGCACTAAGCCTTGGATGGAAACTTGGCTCTCGTTTCAGCGCGCCAACGTTCCCCACAAAATCCGAATCCGAAACCCGAAACGGAGCGAGTGCATGGATACCGTACTCGAGTATCGTACATTACCGGTACAAGTACTCGCACAACACAATTGCGAGCGCCCCAGTGGATTCCCGTCCCGCTTTTTTTTTTCTTTTTTTCTCTCACATCTATTGAGGGCCGGGATGGAATGGAATTGAATGGAATGAATCCTCCTGAAAGACATTTTGAACAAAGCAGGAGAAGGAGAAACGATCTTCCAACCCTCCAATAATAATAATAATCATATCGCACCATTTATTGCGTGACATACCGTGATCGGTGGTATCGGTGGGTGCAATGGATATTTTGTACCGTACGGTACGGTACTGTAGTCTACCGTAATGTGTCGCTGCTGGTTGTCTGATCTGGTGTGCACAAGTACTAGTGCGCTTTTCCCCGCAATTTCCCTCTCTCGAGGAATGAGTGGGTGCTCGATGCACCTTTGTTTCTTTTTCGTTTGAGGAACTTTCCGCCTTGTTGTTGCTGCCAGTTTCTTGTATGGAGGCAATTGCTCCGATTCATTTCGCTCACACTTAATTCATCATCTATCTCTCCCCCATCCTTTTCTCGCGACGGACGAATCCGGTGTTTGTCGATGATTCACTTTTCGCTCCATCGTGCATATAAACCATCACAAAATTTCATTTCGTTGCTACCATCATAATATCCAGATCAGAGACATACAGTTTTGAAGAGAGGAAACCCCGCGGTGCTCTCGTCGTTTGGGTAGGCAAAGTACGCGGGTAGACTGCACCGTACGGGGAGGAGTACACCGATATCCTGCCCATACTCGAGTACCGTACTCGAAACAAATCTGCAATCCCACGTCACCATTTTCATTTCCACCGGTGATGGGGCCAGATATGAAGGTTTCTCAATGTTCCTTTTCCTTCCCCGCGCTGTCCTCACTTATCTAATCCCAATTTTACCAACCCCCCCTTTCCCTCCCCTCCTTCCCCCCTCCATTCCTCGTCGTCGTCCTTCCCCCACCCCCTCGCTTCCACCTCATTCGGGACCGTCAACCGACCACCTACGGTACTGTACGAGTAAACCAAACCTCAACCGCAGAACAGATAGCACAGCTCAGCAGCCATTTCCCTTTGCAGTAGTTTGTTTTTTCTGATCACAGGACCTCCTCCTCCTGCATTGCAAAGCAGAGGGTGCGCTCGCCCCTCTGATGTATCGGGGCTTGGCCCTCTAGCGCCTCGTCCGCTTGACTGGCGATAACAGGTTGGTTACCGAGGGGGATATGCAGTAGAAGTTTTAGGACAGGGTCTCGTTCCTCTCGGTCGCTAAGAGATTCCTAAACTGTTTTGAAAATATACCTTTCACCTTCCTCGATCCTGGATGAAAAGGGTATCAGACTGCCATCAGTAGAGTTATCGGCTATCTACCGTTAGCCAACCTCTAGTCGACCGGTACCATACTCGAGTACGAGTACTGGTGCTCGCACCGTAGGGGGCGAGCGAGGGGGAAAAAACAAGGGCGAAAGCAAAGAGCCGATGGAGAAGGGAAATAATAACAAACACCGACGATTACCACCCACTATGGGGTTGAAGATGTGTGTGACGGGAAGAGCTCGGGCCCTCCCTCTCTCCCCGCTGCGAATAAACTTTTGGGTTTTACCGAACCCCTGCCATGTTTGAAGCCCTTGGCGAGGTGGGTTAGGTCAGGAGGTAGGGAGAAAAGGGGAATTCAATACAGGATCCCCAACCTCGTCATGTCATGTCATGTCATGTCGTGCCAACGATACTGGAGCGGATAATCACTCTAGCGAAAGCTTCTTTCCCACGATGTTCTTTTGATTCTCGCCTCAAAGAGAACCCGCAGCTCGAATCTCGTACAATATGTGCGGTGTCATAAATAACCACAAGCATAACACTTAAGTCCTATTGCCGTCAGTTTGTTGTCGGCAAGAGGAAAAAAACACATCCCAACCCCTCCTCATACCACTTCATTACTATATGTACGAGCGAAGTACATACAAGCATGCGTATGCCATATTCCAAGCCTCCTCTATTTTCTTCTTCTCACACTTTCCTAGTCGGTTGAAATTGCCCAAGCTCACCGAAGCACTTGTTTATGATTAACCTGACGCATACGGGCGATCCCTGTCGAGGCCGCATTACCAACTTAACGATGACGATGAAGAGGGAGGAGACAAAAATTCGGTATGGTTACTGTATCTGTGCGGTAACTTGTAAAGCATTGCTTGGCCGTTGTCTGACAAACTGAAAAGAAAAAAAACGAAGCACCTCAACGTTCCCAACTAATGGAGAAGCTTCAAACAGCCGTCAGTATCAAAAGCCTGGTGAGGTGATATCACTACACCGAGTAAAATGCCTCCAACTTTCTGGAAAGGAAGAAAGGAACAAACCATTGGGATACTCCCACGCTCCCCCAATCTAGCGCCTTGCGGAAAGCGAGGAAAAGGAAAAGGAAAACAGGAAAAAGAAAAAAGAAAAAGAAAAGAGCCAATTGCGGGGAATGCCTCGATCGAGCAAAGGAGAAACGTCAGGGTGCACCCACATTACCGGCTGACAAACGGTCCACTGATCCTCGAGGGGAGGAGGGCCCCCTGGAGTGAGGAGAAGGAAACACTAAAGTCCCAACATTTTGCCATGATTTTGACCATAGGGCCAAATATCATGTCCCACGAAATGTGCTGACATCGTAGCCTGAGCATTGTACTGTACTCATACTCGTACATGCCGAAGGTACAAGAGACAAGGGAAAGAATATCCAGCGAGCGACTTCGGGCCATAGCAGACATGGAGGCGGGGCAGCGCTCAGCTCTTTTTGTCCCGTGTGAGTACCCTTTTGACAGGCTGCCGCTCACCGATTCAATGCCGGCAGAGCCATCTTATACCGTATGATTCCCCACTGTTGGTTCAAACCTCACGATCACCGAATGTACCGTGACGAGGGCTGAAACTGGAAGGCATGAGGAGGTAAATGAAAAAGCAAGCTGAAGGTGTTGAATCGGCTCCCGTCGAGGGATCTGCATGAAATAAGGACTTTCATTACGTTTCTCTATAAGGTAAACCAACGTTGAAATGCACCATTTGCACCTGTAAAAAGAAGAAATAGGAGCCCCTTCAAAAAAAAATACAGATGGTAAAGGGCTGGGCCCTGTGATAACTGTAAAGTAAAAAGGAGGGAGAAAGAAAGATAGAAAAAATATTGGAAAAATCACACGGGAAGAATCAAACTAATATGATTAACCCGAGGAGCTAAATTGCCCCATTGATTTTATGGCGATATGAGTGCTTTGAAAAGAAGCCATTCGATGGCATGGAAGGGAGAAATTGGGAGCGAAAAGTAAGTACTAATTGATATCTAGGAGTGAGCTCTTTTGTCCCCCCCGCATATGGGAAATCTCCCCCCAGGGTGTTTTAGGGGATGGGGGATACTCACACTATCATCACCGCACTTAGTACCATGTCTCTACTAGAGAACTTCTCAACTCTCCTGCGAGGTTGCTCGGGCCCATTCCCTCTCCTAACTTGAATACGCTCTCCACGACCGAAAGCTCCGTGGCAGTGGTATCAAGACCTGTCGGCCAAGGTTAGCCCTTAATGCTCCCAACCCACTCCGCTCCCGGGGGGACAGACCAGTGACTGCCATCCAATCATTAACGACCATACCCGCACCCACTACCGGCGATCCACGATTAACGCTGCCGGCAACAAGCGGGACCTGCAGAAGCGAAGAAAGTTCGTCCTGATCTTGTATTGACGTCTTTGGGTGCACGATTCCGCCTTGATTCGAAAGCGAGCAGTAGGACCCTACGAGGACATTCTCTACGCGCAAGCAGTGATAAGCGTTGGGGGCAGCCCATGTACTGCAGGTAGGGGCGGGAAAATAGCGGGAGGAATAGTACCGGAGATAGTTTGCCTGAAGACTTCAACCCCTAAAACATCTGCGACAATCTCCTCTGTTTCGCGTTCTATATCAGGATGAACCTTCAATCCCCGATCACAGCCCATCCCTCGTTAGCCCACCGACTCTCACAGCTACCAAGCCCGCAGGATAAAACCGACCAAAGCGACATGATCGTTAGCACAAATTACGTTACCAAGTGCTGATAGCCGCTCCTCAATTCTTTGGATTTTGACAGTTTCTGGAATGGAATTTCTAAGATGTTGTAATTCCTGATCTGTTGTCGATGTCGGAAGTAACAATCCGTTCCGATTCCTAAGCCAAATGCTCCTTGTCAGCCCAGTCCTGTCGCCGCTCGGCTCACATTCCAATCCGTATCCCCGCCGATCTATCAGTATATATCTCACATACCCGGCGGTCAACCTTCCAACAATTCTAGTACCGGCGATCGTGGTATGGCAAATTGGAATAACGTCCGCAAGCTCGGCTTCAAAAATGCTGTCCAGATTGTGCCCGTCAGTTTGTTTTGCTCCCACTACTCTCTCAATCGGTAAGAACGGACCTATAAAAGTTCATGGAACCACCAGTGGCGACAAGTGCATATGAGTTCGTCAATGTGGCAAAAACACCGACTCTATTCTGTTCATCAGTTTATCGGCGGTTTATATCCTATATCTCCCCCCCCACTCTGCTCAGGGGACTATTGGGGAAACGGCGGCGCGGAAGGTAGATCATACTCATTGGAATTTTCGAACTGAAGATATCACCGCATAATTAGCAATGTGTTTATCTGAGTAATTCTATGCACGTCGGGGGTATGTGTGTATGGTCGAACCTGAGCTCTGACAGCCATTTTCTGTTTTAATCAGTCCTGCTTCGTGGGAAATAGGTTTGGTGGATTAATTGGTTGGCGTTTGTAGCGAGCAGAGATGGCGATGAAAAATTGCTCTGCAGTAGTGTAGAGTAGGGGGGAAAGGTTTGTAAGGTGCGGGGCTCGTTGTGTGGTGGGGCTTTTTTCCTTGTGATTGAAAAGAAATTTCGGAAACCCTACCGATGCCAAGCCAGATATTACTCGTAGTGGACGAGGGGGGGAAGTATCAGAAGGGAGAGAAAGTGTAAAGACCAACGCGGGGCTTAGAGGTGCACACTTGTGAGCTCCCGATCAAGGGACCGAGATGCTATTCTGCGGGACTGGTTTAAATGTTTTTGCGATATTGGTATCGCTACGGTGCTTGTATTATATGATACTTCATTCCTAAGATATGAGTCGGAATTGCCAAGGATTTGGAGGGCTCATGAAGTGAGGCTAGAGTCATATCTTATGTTTCGGCGGAGGGAGAAGAGTCAGATTTTTGTTTTACTATGAAACTTACTCAACGGTGTCCCGGATTGCACCGGCTTAAACCTCCGTTCGGAGTGAGTTTTCGTGTGATTTGTTTTTCGAGTACCGGTAAGCTTTTAATGTACCGGTATACCCGCCGGATTGATAAATGAGTGAGGTTTTGTGACTCCGATGTGTTGGATCAAGAGAGGCTCAAATTTCTCAGCCCTTCACGATTGGAAAGGTGTGATCACATCTCATGGGCGCGTGTGGGTATGTTGGTGGGTGGACAGCGTTTTGGGGTTCCTATGCTTAGCTGCTGTTCCGTTGAGGTTTGCTTACATAGCAATAGTGATAGTGGTCGAATTCGGTGAGTTGCTACAGTATGGATTGTTGGCATGGGGAACAGATAGATGAATGACGCTTCTCCGAACAATCAGTGAAGAAGGTTGCAATACGCTAATAATAGTAGATAGAAGCAGCCAGTTTACATGCACTCAAGATTCCAATTTTTGTATGCTCATAGCCAATCCCAAACTTCAAAAGGAGCAGAGAGATTACATAGAAAAACTAAAGGTGACTGCCAAGGGGAAGAAACGAAAAGAAAAGAAACAAAAAGAGATAATAGTAGAGTTTCATAAGAGCGAATTATGGAAAAAGAGGAGGAGGGGCAAAATGAAAAAGTGAGTCATCCAGCATCAATCATTCATGCATCACTCCCACACTTTCGAGAGACCTTCGATTTTGAAGTTGGTGTTCACCCCATGTTTAGATTAGACTAGGGAATGCGGGAAAAACAAGGTATGAAGGGGAAGGAAGTGGAAAGATATTTAACCGTCCATATCATCATCGGGTTGCTCAAACAAAAAGTTGGCTGCGAGCTCTTCGTTTTTGTCGCAAGCAAAGTACGCTTGAATGACCATATCTCTATTGAAGCCAAGACGACATAACTGGGATCACAATTAGCCGCTGTGGTTTTCGGCCTAGATAGTCGAAATATGAAGGAACAGGAAGAGACTTACTCTCTCAATAGCGTCTCTCTCTTCAGGAGTAACTGCAATTTGGTTGGAGCCTGGAGGCAATGGCCCGCCCTCCTCATCACCTGGATCCTCACTGAGCAGCTGCAGGAAAGCATCGGGGTTCTGGCTGATCAATGCTGCAAGTTGTGGATTCCCGATACCGACTTGTTGCAGGATTGGCTCAAGCATCTGTGGCTGCTGTTGAACGACTTGACGCAATTGTTGAAACTGGGGATTGTTTCTGAGGAAGTCAAGGTTCGCGAGACTAGCAGCTCCAGATCTTCCCTGACTATGTGCACCTCCGCGCTGGCTGGCGGCGGCGGCGGCGGCTTCAAACAGGTTGATGTTCTCGGGCTCAGCCCCTTCTCCAGAGGCGCTACTTCCAGCGGCGGGAGCAGTAGCAGAAGCGGGTCTAGCAGCAGATTGGGCCGGTTGCGTGCCTGGGCGTGCGGCAGAGGGCTGAGCCAGCCGTTCCTGTGTAAGGCGTTCGGGGATACCCTGAAAAATGTTTAGCTATGTGGAGATCCCATAGATTGAAGTAAATGTGCGTGGTGTATAGTCCTGTTACTTACGTTTAGAAGGTAGTCAACAGCTCTATCTGGATTGAAAAACGCGGCGCGCATGGCTCTCTCGATTTCACTCCTCTCAAAGCCCATTCCCATCATATTAACAATGGCGTCTTCCCTCTCACCTCCCATTGTTAATGCCGACGGATCATTGAAGGCAGCTGGTGGTAGCGAAGCGGAACCGGTGGCGGCGCCCGCAGGAGATGGTGTCTCCGGCACAGTGGCTGAGGTTGAGGGACCTGTCGCAACCTGAACTGGAGCGGAGGGGGTGGCAGGGACAGAACTTTGAGCTGGTGTTGAGGGCGCTTTCGCCGGGGTGGAAGCCGAACTAGAGCCAGCAGCGGAAGACGAAGGTGCAGCTTTAGGCTTATTTAACTATCAGTTTCTGTCCATCGAGTGACTATACATGGGATTGGAATACTTTATTTGATATCATGCAAACCACAAATCCTTTTTCTTCAATTTTGTAGTCCCCAACAGTTTTGTCATCTTGCAAGATTTTACCTGCCGTCAAAGATTACATTATTTCATGGGACTTCTTATATATAGAACAAAGAAAAGCTCTTACCAGAGTAGATGAGCTTTTGGGCCGCAGCGTCCCATCCTTTCTCTGTGCTAATCTTTTCCTTCACCTGGGAAATCTAGTTGACGGCCGGGTTAGTAACTTTTGTGGCTTTTCGTTTCTCATTTATATAAGACGGAGGGGAATCAATAATTACCGTATCGGTGGGCTCGGCATCAATGACAAACTTTTGCTGTTTGAGATCCTGCGAGTGAAGGGGAGAGCGGTTAGTTATATGTGTGGGGTCATGCATCAAATTTCGATATTGGAGAACAGCGGGGTGTGCAGGAAGGGAGGGGCAACATACCTTAAAAGTAAGCTTCATCGTGATGAGAAGAAGCCGTTAAAGACGGAGTAGCTAAAGTGTCTGTTACTGCCGGCTGTCCTGTAGATGGTAGAGATGGAAGAGGGATGGGAAGAGAGATGGAGAGGGGTGGTGGTGGTGGATGAAGCGATGGTGGGGTGTTGTATTGCGTTGCTGGTTGTGTTGGAGGAGTTAGGGTGAGAGACGAAGCTCGACCTTGGCTGGTAGCACAGAGACGTTGTTTCTCAATTGGGAATAGTGAAATTGTATTAGTAAGCGACACTCGAGGATAGTATTTTCATTCTTTTGCAGTGAGATTTCTGGTTGTTCAGACGAGTCAAGATCGGCACAAGATGTTCGGAAGCAGGGTTGTATAGAGGACCACTCAACCTTTGGTTCATATTGCAAAACTAAACAAATACATACCGGTAATGAAGGATTATGGTGTACCGGCACTGTGCCAGTCTTGATGAAAGATCTATTACTTGCATGACAACCAAAGCTTGGCAGTGCACGGGCACAGGCGTTGTTTGTTTTGGTTTCTCCACGTCCGCTGCGGTTCCGGAAGATCTTTGCTGTCAAAAAAAACAAACACAAACATAAAAACACAAAGACATGGGTAACGCTGAGTTCCCAATATCCCCTTCCCCCAAAGTGGAATCATTATCCCCCTTCATCCACCTATTTCATACTTCTCCCCACATCGTTATCTGGTGTTCATACACCCGGCCGGAAGGTTTCCTCCTCCCCATCCCCAATCTCCTCGATCCCCCTTCTCCCTCCAATAGGGTTCCTTGTTCCCTTCTCCCCACATCGATAGCCGTTTGGTTTATCGCCTCCCTCGTCACTTGACACCTGATCTCGTTCCTTCCGAGTCCCCGGGTCTTGTCCCTCTCATGGCGTAGGACGCGAGCACCTTTACTATTTCTGTCCACTCTCTCGAGCCTCTCCCGTGCAAGACGCCGAGCATAGATCTTCTGGGGTATCACAATCTACCGGCAAGAGGGGCAATGCTTTGAAGGGGAACGTACATCTCCAACTACTACAACCACGACAACCATCTTCATACCCATTTTTACAGCTCTATGAAGCTTGTTGATGCTTCTTATCCTCCCCCTAAGCCTCGGCCTCCACTTCCTCGAGCGAGAGTTCTTTGATCTTTCTGGCCCCCTCTCTGCCCCAAACCTCCCGGACTGTATTCGAATGGTATCGAGAAACTGTCCGGGATTATTGCTTCCAGCCCTGTTCACTCTCCCACATCATGTTTTCTCATCCTTCACGCCGGACCCTCCGTTTCCTGGGCCTCCTTGCCCTGCTTCTATCGGCCAGTACGACTGTATTGCTCGTCCTATATTCGATATCAGCTACATCAATCCATTCTGCTCTTCCATCCTCATGCATCGCTGCTGCAGTGCTCAACCTAACAGCCTGCTTCTTCCTGGCTATAGCCGTGATCTACGGCTCACCCAAACGTCCGTGCTTACTTGCCGGTATCACATCTACCGTCTTGGCAGGAATTGCCTCTGCGTTTGCACTGGGTTGGATGAATTTCCGGCCTGAGGGTTTACCTGAACCGATGTATGGCCGTGCGAGGACTCTCTTGATCGCCATCGGATTTGCACTGTTTGTTGCATCTCTGATCATGCAAATTATATTCTGGACACTTCATGTCACCTCCAACCCGCACCTGGGCTTAAGATCTGGTGATGAAGAGGCCTCTCCTGCGAAACCAGTAGAGAAACACGGCATTCCATCTGCTCTGCCTACCCCCAATGCCTCTAAAGCGGGTCTCGCGGGGACGAAGGATCTGATTCCTAATAAAAACCTCCAACCACCCCCTATACGGCCGCAACTCCGTCATTCATTAGTATACTATGTTGTCTCGGCCCCAGAAACTACTGAGACCCCAGCTAGTGTGGAAGTTGACCACTTCGACGCTTGGGATACCTCGGACGTGGGTGACATCCAGAGAGCAGCTTGCACACTTGCTATTGCTGAATCTGAGGGTCCTATCATGGGGTTGGGGATATACACTCCTGAGATCGAAGCAACCGCAATCCACTCCACCGAGGATCAAGTTCTGGAAGATCCTCGGGGAGTGCGAGTTGGTATCCAAGCAGCGGAGAGGCGGAATAGCCCACCGATACCCGATTATGATATGACTCCTAGGAGTGCGAGTTTTCCTACCTGCCTCTTTAGAGATGACGTTTCCTCGCTTCGGGCAAGCTCTACAATATTCTGCAGCCCATTAGCAGAAGTTACCGAACCTAATGACAATAGCCCACAGAGTTCTCTTGGATTAAGGAGACCATGGGGAGATTTGGGGGCTGGGAAATGGCTGGCTAGGTCACAAACCACCCTCTGATCCAACTTTACGAACGAATGACAAATGTAGCGGCATGCCATACCGTGTGCTGCATCTGAACGAATGAAAGTACGAAATCACGATTACCAGTTAACATGATTGCTATATAACTTTAATCGCAAGTATCAATGCCCGATTCCAACGACATACGCCACAATTCAAATACGACGAGAGTGAGGAATGACAAGGAACCTGTGAACACGACTGAACATGAAGGCTAACTCGGGCATGAAACAAAACACGATTCCATGAGCACACTCCCCCTTACGCTTTCTCTCTCTCTCTCTCTCTCTCTCTCTCTCTCTCTACTCTACT